TTCCCATGGAAAGTTAACGAGGTTGCACCTTATGATATGGAGGTATATTGGTAGTGATATAGTTGATTTGATTTTTGTTTCAAACTATATTAAATTTTGCCTTTTGTTTTCTGCCATGTATTTCACCTTGATCACCTCAAATCTCCATATATATTAATGGAATTTTTTTTCAAAAGACATGTGTCAGTCAATTAATGCACAATTATATATTATTTGTACGGTTAGTTTATAATATTGAGTTTGGAACTTACAATGAATCTAGCCATAATTTGGCTTCGATTCGTTTCGAGGGGTTGATCATCTTGGATCTATTAATTTTGCCTCAGTTTTTGGTACATTTAATATTAAGTAATGTGTGATATAGAAAATTTTTATAGATTTCTTTTGCAGCTTTATTCTTTTTTAATTGGGTTTGATTAATAATTTTTTTTGAATTGTGATTTCATTTAAATCAAATAATAGTTTCAATTAATGCATAATTATACAACATTATCTATTAGTTATAATAAATGGGTCTCAAACTGAAAATTAGTCTGGCTATGATTTGGCCTTGATTTATTTGGACGGGTTTATCCTTTTGGATCTATTGATTTGCCTGAAATTTTTGGAGCATTTAATGTTAAGTTATGTGTGAAGTAGAGCAATTTTAAAGTTATTTTTTGCAACTTTATTTTGTATTTTTAGCCGTAGAGTTATAATTTTTTTTAATTTTGCTTTCATTTAAATCAAAGAAATTTTCAATAAATTAATAATTAAATTTCATCTATACGGTTAATTAATATTTGGGTTTAGAAACTGAAAATGGATCTGGCCATGATTTGTTTTGACGGGTTGATCCTTTTATATCTATTGATTTGGAGAGATTTTTGTTACATTTAACATTAAGTTACGTGTGATAAGAAACAAACATATATATATATATTTGCAGCATTTTTTTCCTTAACAGGATTTGATTTTAAATGTTTAACTTTGACTTGATTTAAATCAAACAGCAGTTCAATTAATAATTATATTTTATGTCGACTGTTAGTTATAATATTTGGGTTTGAAAACTGGAAATGAATATGGTCATGATTTAGATTTGATTTGTTTCGACGAGTTGATCTCTTTTGGATCTATTTATTTGACCGAGATTTTTGGTGCATTTAACATTAAGTAATATGTGATATAGAGCAAGTATATATATATATATATATATATATATATTGCAGCTTTGTTCTGTTTATTTTTTAAAAATCGGTTTGATTTAGAATTTTTTTGATTTTTTTAATATCAGAATATATTTTAATTAATGCATAATTATGCCTTATCTAAGGTGGGCCTATTTTTGCATTGTCTGGTGTTTAAGCAGGGCCATTTATACATCGCTCTTTCAAGAGTGAGTTCCTTAAAAAGTCTTAAAATCCTTATTGGCAACAAGGATGATGAATTATGCACTTTCACAATAATGGGGTTTTCAAGGATTTTCTTAAGAATATATGAGCATGCATCGATTATTTTATTTTTGTTTTCTTTTTTTTACATAAGATCATAACATGAGTTATTTTTTCCATGTTATCGATTTTTTTTTCCTGGAACAATCTAATTTTCATTATTGGGACATTGTTTAATAATAAATAAACAATATTTTTTACTAAAAAGATCATTTCTGCTAATATCTAAATATTTTCTATGCAATTAACATTGATGAAATATTTTAAAAGTTAATATAAATATATATCTCCATTATGCAACACACGGGCACAATAATACTGAAGTCCAAGTCTTTAGCTCCTGCCTTATTACCAACATTTTGCCGAAGGATTTAAGATTTCTTAATCATCGGTTTACGTCGTTATAAAGTCTTAAAATCTTGGAGATGAAGTATTCTATATAATCCGAATAAGAAGAAGGATTATTGATCCATTAAAAAACCCTCAGTAGTTAAACAAATGCATCAATTTTTAATGGATTTTTATTGGCCGTGTTTTACGCTGATGTAATTTTATCTACTATTTTCCATTTAATTGTCAAAAATAATTTACTTTAAATAAATTATGTGGCATATGATCTTTGTAATAGTATAGGTTTTATGATTATGCTTTAGCAATTGATTTGTACTTTTTTTTGCTTTGTATTGTAATGGTTTATATAAAACAATACTGCATTATTTCCTAATAAGTACTGCGTTGTTTGTTTAATATTGGTTTCTTTTCCATTAGATCCATTCGAACTGTATTGCAAATATTTTTAAAATTTTGCGTATGTAATGGTTGTGCGGTTTTTTTTTCTTTCTAGAACAATCTAATTTTCATAACCAAGACATTGTGCTAATAATAAATACTAAAGATTATTTCCGCTAATATCTAAATATTTTATATACAATTAAGATTGATGAAACATTTGAAAAGTTAATATAAATATATATGCCCACCGTGCACTAGTTGATTTAAGTACATATTGTATATATGGTGGTCGATTTCGGATGTAATATTGTTAGTGGTATACTGGAAACTCGAGTGTTAAATACTTGTAGCTGATGTATTATTATGTATTTATAGTATTAGAGATTACACACTTGATGTCTGCAAAAATCACTATGCTAATAAAAATTAGAGTCTGATAAGTCATTAAAGAATTCTTTGATGTCATGGTAATTAAAGAATTTGTCATTCAAACAAGCAGTTGTATAATACTTGTGATATAAATTTGTTAAAACTTTTGCATATATGCAAGTCTTTTATTTTATCTTATTTTTTGGTAAAAAATAGGCAGCACCCTAATATTTAAAGGGTAAAATCCGTCGGTCATATGTGCTAGTCATATAGCAATTCCCTGGCGCGCAAGTTGTACTTTGAGGTAGTTGATGTACATGTAATGGGAATTTTTTAATTTTATATTTTTTTTTGAAGGACATGTAATGGGAATGAGTATGGGAACGAGTATTGGAAAAAATCATTGCAACTTAATTACTCCTTCCGTCCCAAAATTATTGTCTAGTTTGATATTTTACTTTTAGTACAATTTGAACTAGAAATGAAAATTCAAACTAGACAATAATTATGGGACGGAGGGAATATAAGTTATAAAGTGAATATGGAGATTTTCGAGTTTCTGCACCCCTCCTTTTTATCTCTCTTTTGTAAAAAGATTTTTGAGGGTACGTAAAGGACAAAACAATAGTAAGTTTATTGTATGTAGAGTAAAAGTTTGAAAAGATAAATTAGCTAGATTTGGCCAGTTAGGGCAAGAAAATTAGAAAACCCTATTGCACATTGATTTTCCGTTGAAGAAAAAAGAACAAAACCCGAATGAAGTACATAAATGTCATTAATCTCACAAAGTAAAACGTGAAGAGATTAATTATGATTTGACCAAAAGCTTACAATTATGTACGTGTTTGACGCCATGCAAGCTTGTGTAAATTTAATTTAAAAAAAAAAAAACTAAACAAATGGGCGAAAGTGTAACTGAATTAAACTTGATAATTTAGAAACCTTAAACGTACATACACCATCTCAAACTACAAGTCATTTTTATTTTTATTTTATTTTATTTTATTTTTGTATATTGTCTTAATTCAATGTCCAAGTGTTCGTATTTGATACGTACGGAACTATGTTCATATAAAACTATTTCAGAGGAGCAATTTCAAGATCTCTGACCAAAAACATAGATACACATAAAGCTCAAACGGGTTAATAGATGTTGCTTCCACTTTGTTTATGTTTCTGGAAAACGAGCATGTAACTTGCATTTTCGGCTCTTCATTTTATACTCCCTCTATTCTAAAATGATTGTCCATTTTGCATTTTCAATTTTAGTACAATTTGAATTAGAAATGAAAATTCAAACTGGACAATAATTATGGTACGGAGGGAGTATTTTGTAGTAGCAGTTAACAAACTTATTCACTAGTATACGTAACAGAATTTTTGTTGATACGGAGTTGGAACAAATTATTCGTCATCATCAATGGCTTTCGATGTCCTTGGCATACACGTAACCCTTTTTACGGAATAAACTGAATTAAGTTCATAGGCCAAAATGCTTCAATGCGGGTCAATTCTATGCGGAAGGCCCCTTCAAATAAATCACAAAAATTACAAATAAAAGAGACACTTATTTTTGAACAGGCAGAACACTTCAACACCGATAAATGACAAAATAGTTTTGTAAGATTATATTCTCCGTCCTAAACAAAAGAAAAATCGATATTGAATTTTAAAATTTTGTTTTATTATGTACTCCCTCCGTCTTATAATTATTCTCCAGTTTGGGTTTTCATTTCTAGTTCAAATTGTATTAAAATTAAAATCTCAAATTGAACACTAATTTTAAGACAAAGAGAGTATATAAATTTCAAAATTTAACGTGTACTATTTTTTTTTTTTTTTTGATACGGAAGGATTACTAAACATTCGAAACTGATTCCTTAGCACAACAGATACGCGCAATACTTAAAGTTTGTTAAGAGTTCAAATATCCATGCAGATCACCAAATATAGCAACTTTTATGGTATTAATTGTTGATGTTAATGGAGATGGGGGAGAAAAGCAAAATAAACAAAAACAAAACCTCCATTTGTACCGATAAAAAGTTCATGCAATTATTACTTTATTTTTCCCTTGAACTGATCAATGATTTATTTAATTAGACTTATTAATCAAATTTTGGTCGAAGTAGAGAATTTGTATTTTCTTTTCTCTTTTCTACCTTTTTTTTTAATAATGAATGAGACATAACCTAAATCATCAAACCAACACATTAAGTGGTTGTAAAATCTCAAGTAAATTATGTTCCAATTATGAATAACTGTTCTATCCCATCATACCTTTTTACATTTTCAATACACTTTTTTATATTTTCAATACAAAAAACACCTAAAATACACACTAAAAAAACGAAACAAATATACCCTGAGTATCTCGCCTCATTTGTGATAATTGTCAAACTATCCATTTTCTTTGTTTTCTTCTTTTAACAATGTTCACCAATGTGTATGAATCACCAAGATTCACTGCCATTTCTTGGGCTTTAGCCTCAGAAACCTCATATGGGCGAAGAATAAATTTGGGCCTTCTCATTATATAGTATAGTAGGGAATAAAAAGTCACAATTTCACTAAAAATCCAGAAAATAGTCAACGGTTTTGACAGATGGGAAAACGCAAATCGCCACCGTCTCTATTGATTGGCCAGTTGTTTCAACAAAAATGTTTGTAATTCGCATCTTTCCTCAAAAAATTCCCTCCTCCTTCCTCCACCGCCTTCCACCTTCTTCTTCCTTCCAATTCCCTTCTTTAATCAGCTTTTCCGGCAACCTCCTTCTCCTTCTTTGGCATTTTCCCTTGTTCAATTTCCCTAACCCAAAAAGACAACAAAGAATTTGACGGATAATCCGTTTTCTATTTTTCTCATTTACGGTTGCCTTTTAACATACTATGCTTCGGCTTTGTTGCCGAAGGGCCCGGCGGTCCGTCCGCCTGCCCTACCGGCGGACCTTCAACACTTCAACCGGCAACCGCAAGAACAATAATCAAGATATTCCTAAAACTGCGTTGAATTCCTCTAACAATATTCAACCGTCGGCTTCGGAACCGCCACCGCCGGCTCTCATCCCGATTCCTCAATCTCCGAACCCTAATAGGACCTTTTTCCTTGTTCTTTCCACCACCGTAGTCTCCGGAATGTTAGGCTCGTATGTCTTGACTCACAGCGACGACGTATCGAGTGCGGCACAAAGTGCCAAGAGGGAATTCGAAATCGCCGTGGAGAAATCGAATGCGTCGTTGAATAAAATCGTTCACCGGATGAGGCAGACCGGAACGGCGGCTTCGGTGTTGTGGCAATCGCTGAGGTCTCTTATGTCGTCCGCGAATCATGAGGTGAGGGTGGGATTTGAGCTGAGGGTGGCTGCTTTGCTGGCTGACATTGCTGCGGCGAGTGAGAGTCGGAGAGCGGCGATTGTGGCCGCGGGTGGCGGTGCGGTAATTGATTGGTTATTGGATACTGTGGCGGTAGCTTCCGCGGATAATTTGGGGACTCAGGCTGAGTCTGCTAGGGCTTTGGCCTACTTGATTGCCGACCCTAACGTCTGTGAAGCTGTTTTGGCGAGGCCTCATGCAGTTCCAAATTTACTGAGGTTCATTTTCTCTGCTCACCCTCGAAAAAACGTAAGTTCTCTTTTTCCCGCTCGAAATTTCCCTTTGATAATCATGTTATATCATTGATACATTTGGTTCAACCCAGAAAAAGGGTACTAGGAACAGTTGATCATAACATCTGTTACTGTTAAGTAATGCTCTTCATAACGTTGGATAATTAGCCAGGAAGAAAACTTGTATTGTTTAAGAAAGGAACCATATGTGATGTAGTTTGTTATTGTGGTGTCGAGAACTATAGTCATCAACTTGGTTTCTTAAAAAAAAGGTGTGAACGCTACGAGAACAATTGAATAATGTGGGGATTTTAGCTTATAATATCTTGAATTTAATGGGTTGAGGATATAACTTGCACATTGTCTTTCTCTGTCAAATACATTTTTTCTTGGTGAGTCATAATGAGGTGGCCATTCTTCTGGGAGATTGATGTATTTTTGTTTTTAATTTTTTTTAAGCAGCAAAAGAGACGTAGTTCATTCGATCTTTCTGATGCCTTGAAAGGTAGGAGCATGCTTGTTGCGGCAATTATGGATGTTGTTACCTCTAATTGTGAAAGTGCTGACAATTTGTTGTTTAAGCCATTGCTGCCAAAAGATGCTGAAGTAAGAGATATTTCAGCAGCTATTGAAGTGATTGAGGGTGGCATCCATTGGGATGAATCACCTGAGGATGAGGGTGATGATAATGGTGGAAATGGTGTGAAAGGCATTGGAATCAAAATTCTTGAAGGTACTACCGTTTTAGGCCTCTCCAGGATTAATAGACTCGTCGAGAACGAGAATTCTGATGTGAATGATGCAGTCACTGTTCAAAGTATGCCGCAAAGCCATCTATTTAACAATACATATGACCATCCTCCTGCACACGCAAAGCTGTCATCTGTTGTTGTCCCCGGGCTTTGGGATGATTTGCATTCTGAACATGTTGCTGTCCCCTTTGCTGCTTGGGCATTAGCAAACTGGGCTATGGCATCTCAAGATAATAGATCACATATTCATGAATTAGATCAAGATGGTCATGCAATCATGACTGCTTTGGTGGCACCCGAAAGATCTGTTAAATGGCATGGTAGTTTGGTTGCTCGATTGCTTTTAGAGGACCAGAATCTGTCTCTCAATGAATCTGTATCTGATTGGGCTTCCAGTTTACTTTCTACTGCTTTCCAAGCTAGTAAAGTTCAGGATGCCCCTTTAGCACGAGTTGCTTTGTCTGCATTTTTGGTTGCTATTGAGAAAAGCCCTGACGCCAGGGAAGTTGTTCTGGATAAGGGTCTTCATTTGATCAGAGAAAGTGTCAAACAATCACAGAAGCATAAATCTGTGCAAGAGTTATTGGCGAAGGCCTTGGAACTAATTTGCAGTGATGAGCTGCATATTTCTCTAGAAGAAAGTCAAAAGTGGTCTGGCATTCTGCTTCCTTGGATTTTCGGCCAGCATTCTTCTGATACAATCAGGAACTCCGCTATAAATATCCTTGCACATATCCTTGAAGATTATGGCCCGTCTTCTATACCGATCTCTCAAGGATGGTTAACAATCATGCTGACAGATATCCTGAGCTTGAAGAAGACAGCTTTAACGACTGGAAATACGCAGCCTGAAAGTGACAAAGTCAAGGTGAACTTAAACATAAATATAACTGAGCTTTAATGTTCAGCTAGAAATTTAAACTTTTATGTTCCAAGATATATTGGGAGTTTGCATTTGGTTTTAACATTTTTTACTCTTTTGCAGACCCAAATTGATCAGGCAAACATAGTTTCTGGTACCCAAATAGCTAGCCAGTTATCCAGTGCTGTTGTTAATCTAGCTGGGAAGCAAATTGGAACTTCCGTTGAGAGTGAAGATGCATTTCCTTTGTTAGATCTCCTCTCACTCGACCAATTTTCTGTGGCATTTAAGAACTTTAAGAAGGATAAAAACCCTAAGATTAATGCTGCAGATGCTGCATTGGCTACCTTAAAAGGATTAAAAGCATTGACTGAAGTATGTGTTGAAGATTCTCTTTGCCAAAATAAAATTGTTGATTTCGGGGGTTTGTGCTTGCTGAGGCGTCTTTTGCTTGAAGATGATTATGAACAGCTAGCTGCCATTGAAGCATATGATGCTTCTCGAGCGCTGCAAGCACAAGAGAGGGGCTCACTAGCTCCAGGGGAATCTTCAGCTTCCAATAACAATGATTCTTCGAGTTTAAGAGTTCCACCTACAGCTCATATGCGAAGACATGCAGCTAGATTACTAACTGTTCTTTCAACACTTCCAAAGGTACAGAAAGCTATTTTTACTGATGATGTGTGGCGGAAATGGCTTGAGGATTGTTCGAAAGGGATAGTTCCTGGCTCTAGTGACCTTAAAATTCAGAGCTATGCCAGGGCTACATTGTTGAATGTTCTTTGTAACTACCGTCCTTCTGAGAATTCTGTAAATAATGAAACGGTTGATAAAAAAAACAGTCACTGTGTTCATTATGCTGACAGGATTTATTTGATAAATCCTGAACGACCACATTGGAAGTGTCTTGACACTACAATGCCCTACTTGAGTAGTACATCACCATCTGGTAATGGTGATACTGTGCCGAATGCTGTTGAAAACTTAAGTGAAGATGTCAATGAAGATAATTCTTCTACTCCAACATCTACATCTGATACCTGCCAAGGATCAGATGTACCCCCACTTGACATTGTCTTTGTCCACGGCTTACGGGGGGGAGCCTTTAAAAGTTGGCGATTATCAGAGGACAAGTCATCAACCAAGTCTGGCCTTGTGGAGAAGATTGATGAAGAGGCTGGGAAAAAGGGTACATTTTGGCCTGGGGAATGGCTTCCTGTTGATTTTCCTGATGCACGTGTTTTCAGTCTCAAATACAAGGTTATTTCTTCTCATTGTTTGGTGAATTCTGAAATGATATTACCTTTCTCTTTAATCTCTGACAGATGTTTACTGCAGACAAATCTTACACAGTGGTCAGGGGCTAGCTTACCTCTCCTGGTATGTACATTTTTGTCATTCATTTTTGTTTATGATTAGTTTTTTTCTTTTGAAACCAGATAACAATTATTTGGATGTGTTGGTGATTTTAAGTTTATATGCTTCGGCTTCGTATCTTTTTTCTCTCTAAACTTGTGATGGTTATGTTTTGATCTGAATTGAAGTTTTCCTTTTGGAATAGTTATTGTTCGCAAGAGTTTTTGGACGTTATAGTTTCCTACTTACCTGTGTACACTGTTGATATAACATATTTGCAAGGGTTAGTTCCTCACATCTGTTATCATGTATCCCATTATATTCAAGTAATTTGAAAAGAAACTTATGTTATCATGTATGCCATGAATGATGTTGATCTAGTTGCAGCCTGTAATTTAATTTTTTTGGTGTATGTTTTCTTACTAGCAACATACTTGATCACTGCTTATCAGGCCTTTTCTGTTATGGATAGGTGCTGTAGAATAGCCTCCTTCAATTTGGTTGATGTCCTTTTCTTGAAATTTTTTATTCTCATATACTTGACTCTGCAGGAAGTCAGCTCAATGCTGTTAGAGAAGCTAGTTGCGGCAGGAATTGGAGATCGACCAGTTGTCTTTGTGACTCACAGGTCTGTATCCACCAGAATGATATTATCCTTGTTTTTTGTACCTCTCATATTATCACTGAAAAAAAAAAAGGAGTGGGAGGTGGGGAGAGAGATTTTCATTAAAGATATAAGGTGACATTTTCCTGGTTAAATAAATTTTTTCCCAATTGGTGTTGTAATTAAGGAATATGATCAGTTTAGAATGTTTGCTGAGGATTTGGATATTGCTTCTATCATCTCTTCTGTCCTCTGTAGCTTTAGTTCCTTTGATAAAGTGAAATTATTGAACTTTTTCTTCTTGCATCTTGGGTCGTACTACTTAAACAGCCTCTCTGTATTGAAATACAGGGGTAAGGCTGCGAACATCTTGACCCCCCCAGACCCTAACCGAGTTCAGAATATACCGGGTTTGTTGTGGTTGTCGTTGTTGTATTGAACTTGGTCTTCTTCTTCTTTTTATTATTATTATTATTACTCCCTCTGTCCCAATTTAATAGGCTACCTTACTATTTAAGGGTGTCCCACTAAATAGGCTGGTTTCCTTTTTAAGATGTGCTTTTTCTAATGAAATTCCAAATGTACCCTTAATTTAATTAATCATCTACCCATCATTAATGTTTTTATAAGGGTATTTTAAGAAAATAAAGGTAAAAATGGTTAGTTAAGTTAGTTTTATTAATCTGTGTGAAAAATACTACAAGTCTATTGAATTGGGACGGAGGGAGTATTATTATTATTATTATTACTATTTATTTGAAGTTGCTCCTTCCAAGATGATTTTAGTTGGGTTTCTTGCTAAAAGATGCTCAGAAGTGTCTTTCGTAACTATTAGATTAAGAAGATACACCATTCTTTAGGGTAGTTGGTGACATCTTTTGCATCACACCCACTTCATTTTGCCTTCATGAACCTCTTAAGTTGAGGATCTCCATGTCGTAGCCAAGTAGTTGTTTCACGCTTACTGTTGGCCCCCGACTGCATATTGATGCAGTTATTTCAATTGACTTGCTGCAGTATGGGAGGCCTTGTTGTCAAGGAGATGTTGTATCAAGCAAAAGCTGAAAATAAGGACAACTTTGTGAAGAACACCATTGGAATTGTATGTTATATTACACAGATTAAGTTGCTGCTTCAACTTAAACTTCATGGTTTTCCTCAATATAAATTTATGATAATGTTGGCTTCTTGTTTGACATTCAGGTGTTCTATAGTTGCCCGCATTTTGGCAGCAAACTAGCAGACATGCCTTGGCGTATGGGTCTTGTGCTTCGTCCAGCTCCAACGGTTAGTATTAGTTTGATTTACAGGTGTTTTGTTTTCTGCTTTTACAATTATAGTACCAAAACCAAATCTATCTCCTTTTGACCCTAGAAGAATAAACCAATATATCAATAAAACAATCTCCTTGTGGATGCTCCCACAAATTTGTTAAATGACTTTTTCAGTCCTTCATCTCATATTTCAGAAGTGGGATATTTGGTGCCTGACTTGAGTTTGACCAAGGCAATTGTTTTGTGTAGTATATTTGTCTCAATGAAATGTGAAGATGTTTGAAAGTGAAGTGCCACCTCATAATATAATATGATAGAAGGCCCATCTTAATTCTATTAAGGAATTTATTTCGGTGCATTGTTTTTCTAGACTGAAAAGTAGAAAGTTTGAAACTAAAGTGCAACCTTACAATTGAATAATTAACACTCATCTCCATTTTTTCTTCTAGTAGGGGTTCTCTTTATTAGAGAGGATATTTTCTTTTTCAGTAATCTCATAGTTGATGGACCACATAGAATTTGCCTAACAAAGGTTAGCCAAAGAGCAGAAGAAAGTCACATAACAATTATAGGTAGCCAATATGGTTGATTTTGGACACATACGACTGAAGAAATCACTGGAAAAGATGTGGGGGACCAATAGTAGAAAATACTCACCCTTGCGATCCTTTTACTCTTTGTATTCTTGCTCGCAATCTTTTCTCAAATGATGAGATAATTTTGGATTTAGTTTGAAATATTAGTTTTTACTCTTTGTGGCCAGATTGGAGAGTTAAGAAGTGGATCGCCAAGATTGCTTGAACTAAACAATTTTATTGGTGAGCTTCATGAGAAAGGCATGCTTGATGTCCTCAGTTTTGGCGAGGTATTATCCTCTTATTAAAATTTTCCTTTCCAGTGTTTTAGAATTTGGATCTGTTATCATGTCTCGTCTCCGCAAAGTTTTTTTTACGTGTGTAATGATTATCTTACAGACCAAATTAACCCCAATTGTTGAGGGATATGGAGGTTATGCATACCGAAGGGAAATTGTACCTATTGCTTCAGCTTTTCCTGGATATGGCCAGCTCGTTGTGAGTTACCATTTGTATTTTGAGCATGCTTTTACATTTTCTTTAGTATGCTTTTATGGAGGGAATAAGCTCTGATGCATCTGACACCATGCAAGTGTTACATTGTATGAGTTTCTATTATTAAATGTTGATATTTTGTTTCTGAATGGGAACTTTATTGTCAATATACTTCACAAAAGTATGGTAGCATGTGGTTTAGCACATTGGTTTCAGACAGAAGTTGAAACTTATGACGAGATTTCCTCATTAACTGGATGGAAGTAAAAGAAAACTGTAACCTGCTTGACTTGTGTAAAGTAACATTTTTCTGATGATGCATAGTGCCTACCAGTTTTATTGAATTTCCAATAACAGCTTCTACATTTTATTTGTGTTTGTTCAATTATTGATGAATTGATGTACGAACATGTGTCGCTTTCGACTAGAGAACATGATGGTTACCTAATTTGTGCCATTCAGAGTATGAAAAGAATGATTAATTCAGTGTGTTTGATATTTTTATCCAACCTTACTCTTTGTTTCTCCTAAACTTCAAATGCAGGTTTTAGATTCCACAGACCATGTCAATTCTTGCAAGCCCCTCTCGCGGGATGACCCTTCCTACAAAGAGACATTAGATTTCTTGCAGAAGCTGAAGGCACAAAAACTACAGTGTAAATAGACAAAGCTACGACATATTTTTGCAGTCATGATGTTGTAGCTTGAACGTCAGAAGCTTCTGGAAGCTTGACACTCCGGACAAATAACTACATGAGCGACATGCGTTGTTGAGATGAAGACTATACATGTACAGAATTCATGGATTTTAAGTACCAGAAATCTCATTTTCCTGAGTTGAAGCAAGTTTGAAAGCTACAAATGCTTCCTGAGATCCTAGATAGAATTAGAGTTGGATGTAGGTGAGAAACCTAGTTGTATAGCCATGTTTCTCATTGTTGTTCCTCCATAATCCCTGTACAGTCCATGTTCTGTATATTGCTTATTGATTAGAAAATACCTCACTGGTTAGAGGGGAGGCCTTCCCTTTATAGGTAGTTTAGCTGCTCCCCTGTTTTAGGCATGGAGGATGGTCCTTGCAGGTGCAGGATGATAAAGATGACTAATTCTGTACATTATGCCATTGTTTCATTTTGTGAATGGAAAAAAGAGTAGTAATTTCAGTAAAAAGTATCCATTACTCTATAAATGAAGTATTTTTGTATAAGGATAAAATTTGATTATTTTTCTGGAATGGAGGGAATAGAATGATCTTTTGGGCAAAGTCATTTATGGGCATTCTGATATTTTTTTTCCCTCGTAAAACTTTTGATGTTCCTTTATAGGAGGAGCTCTTCCAAATGGAATAAATGAGGTTTTTTCTCCTCAACAAAAGGAGAAATTTTTACTACTTTCGTAGTTTATAAGTTGAGAAGTTTCACAGAGTTTCAAGAAAAGAAAGAAGCCATGAACTCAACATTAGCTCCCTTAAATGTATCTCTTCCGACCTTACAATGGAGACTCAGACAGCAACTTCCGTTCAATTACACCAATTTCCCATTATTAGCAATTTCGGATGATATCAACCGTCCGAAAACCTTTCTCTGTTCCAACTCCAGTACTTTTACAGTAACAGCACCTTCAGAAACTGAAGCGGGGGATTCGGGTGAAGATGACGGTGACGATGCACCGACGTCGTCGCCGGCGGCAATGATTGGGGGCGTCCCTCCGTTGAGGCAGAGGAGGAGGAGATACCGGAAACAATACCCGGGTGAACAAAAGGGGATAACTGAAGAGATGAGGTTCGTTGCTATGAGGCTGAGGAATAGCGGTAAACCAAAGAAGAGCCAAAAGGGTACTAAAGATTCTGGGAGCGAGAATGAATCTGAAAGTGAGATTCCTGATTATGATGATGATGAAAATGGCGGGTCGGTTTCTGATAAAGAAGTGGAAAATGATGGAAGCGGAAATGAAGAGACTTGGGAGCCCAGTGTTGAAGGGTTTATCAACTACCTTGTTGACAGTCAGCTTGTTTTCAGTACTATTGAGCGCATTGTTGACGAGTCCGATGATGTTTCTTGTAAGCTTGTTCTTTTCCTTTTCTCTTCAAGCTGTGTTCTTCATTTGCTTTGTCTGTGCTATATTCAAAATTCCCTTTTTTCTGTTATCGGTTGGCCGAAATTTAGTTAGAGTTCATTTCTCTAATTGGATTGGTGCCTGAAGGATTCGTGTTTCTGAATGCAAAGCTTGCATTTAACTGGTAATCAGTTGAAGTAAAGTTCAAGTGCTTAAAGGTTTCACCAAAAACTCATGGTTATAATGTGATTAGAATCAATAGAGTTAGAATGGGAGAACTGGATTCAGCTTTACATGAAGATGCATATACTTTACACGTGATATGGATCAAAGTTTCTTGCTTTATTGCTTGTTGGCAATGCAGTGTGTCCTGGTTGAATTGGTGTAATGGTCTGATTTTGTTTGGAGACAGATGCCTACTTCAGGAAGACGGGGCTAGAACGATCAGATTCTCTATCAAAAGATCTACGATGGTTCAGCGAAGCCGGAAATGTGATCCCAGAACCCAGTCCTCCGGGGGTAACTTATGCGAGCTATCTAGAGGAACTAGCTGAAAAGACTCCTCCTTTGTTTTTATGCCATTTCTACAACATATATTTCTCCCATGTTGCCGGAGGACAAGTTATAACCAAAAAGGTCTGGTATTGCTGTTCTTGATTCCACTTCATTTCCTGTTCTTGATTCACTTCTTTTGGTATCTTGTTTCACTTCATTCAGTAAGTTCATTTGTGTGGGGCGGTGTTACATATCCAAAGCGGAACTGAAACCCAACTGTAATGGATGGTTTGACTCGGTTATTAGTACACATTTATGAGTTCGAAATTGTTGGTATCAGTTCTATTGGATTTTAAGCCTCTATCCTAGGATTAGTTTTGAGTAAGCAGCCTCAATAGAGTGCCCCATTCCTATGAGTGCATTATGTTGTTAAACAATCTAAGTTTCTTTTGATTAGTGAAACACGTCTATGATTCCTTCTGACGTGAAGTATAAAAGTTTCTGGGTATCACAAGGTTTTGCCACTCAGTAGAACAAACTTAGCTGATGAAAGTAATCAACAACCAGGCATAGGCAGCAATTACATTTTTCTTATGTTTTGCCATTTCAGTTAGTGGAAACTATCCTAATTATGTGTTTTTTATTCACGAGTTAAACTGCCAGTATTGTAGGGAGATAATTGCAATGGAAACTTGGACTTGGATTTCAGAATTTATCTTTAGCATTGTAAAGATATGTTGATATTGGTTCATCTGCAGAAGCACTGTGAAACTTTGTTCACTTTACGTGCATTTTGAAGAATATTCTTGGGACTAGTTTTACTGAGAAGTCTCATTGGAGATCTCCACCCCCAAGTCTACATGATCTTGCTCGTAAATGGAGTATATATTTTTCATTCAATTTTTGAGTCACTATGGTGATGTTGATTTTGAGTCACCACAAGTCACTATGATGATTCCTTATTCCTTAATAGTAATTAACAAAAAGAAAGTGAAGGTATTTTTTGAAGTATACTGTAAATTTTCTTCGAACACAAGGTTATGTCAACCAGAAGAAATCACACTGGTGGATGAAAGTAATTAAGTGTCAATGTGCCCATTGATTACAGAAACGGTATGTTTTGACATCCACTTAGTGCGATCCTCTGAAAGTAATGAACAAGAAGCAAGTGAAGTTGTCTTATGAAGTATAGTGTAAATTTTCTTAGAACATAAGGTTATGTCAATCTGGAGAAATCACACTGGTAAATGAAACAAATTAACTGTCAGATTTGGTCATTGGTTACAGAAATGGCTAGTTTTACCATCTACTTAATGGAAATTATCCCCTATTGCAAGCTTTTTGTTCATGAGTTGAACTGCCTGCATTAGGAAATCATTGCACCTTGTGATGTCGCTGGAACTTGAAAGCTGTTATGTAAGATTGGTCGACATCAAAATTTATTACCTGCTAGAATGTTTGTTAAAAGCTCATTTGCTGAATACACATAAAGTAATGGGAAAGATCCACAATCAGGAGAATGTAGAGTTTGTGGAAGGGTGGCTCTGTAATCAGAGTACTTGTTTAATGTTTCCATGGTCAATCAGAATGTCTTGAAATGTCTGGTTCTATTGAACTTCTCAACATCCAGTGGCTTATGTTATCTTCATTGGATACTTGTGACTTGACAGCTATTCTAGCTTAAACTTTTTTAGTGCTCTTTCACCGTTCCTAGCTTTACCAGTAATATTGCTTATTTCAACACTCTCTGTGATCTTTTCATTATTTGATTAGTAGCTTTTGCCTTCTTGGGATATCTATCGGTTCACTTCTCAATTGTTTCCTGCCATTGTGAGTTTTCTGTTTGTTGTATATTACAATTTAGAACATATACACAACTAGATGCACTCAATTTATGGTCTGCAGGTCTCTGAGAAGTTATTCGAGGGAAGGGAGCTGGAGTTCTGTGCATGGGAGGGGCAAGAAGAAGAATTGTTAAAAGTAGTTAGAGATAACCTCAACATGGTTGGAGAGGTACAATGTCTACATCCTTTTTTTTCATCCTCTTTTTTATCTGCAATTTATTAAAGCAGAACCCTGATGCATTGTTTGCGAATTTTGTGCAGCATTGGTCTAGAGATGAGAAAAACAAATGTCTAAGAGAAACGACTAAGGCATTCCGGTACTTGGGTCAGATAGTACGTTTGATCATTTTGTAGAACAAAGGAGAGTCAGACTCGAGATACAGTAGAAATCAGTGATTACTAGTCCTATTACAAACCCTTCTGATCCCAAGGCTCGATTCTAGACACAGTGGTCGTGGCAATCAATGTCGCCTTTGCCAGCAAGGAAAACGTTTTGCCCTTTTGCCAATGAGGTTTTATCACTAGAGAAACTGAAAAGTGACATGATTGTGAAAATGCAATTGTTATACAGAGATTTAGATTCTTCCAAATAGAGCTTTGACTAAGGAGGGAATTCTTAGCTGTGTACACTAACCAAAATCGTGTCTTTGTAAGACCAGAACTCCTCTTTGGACATGTTTTTTGTAAATGTGATTCAGTTTGTTCTTATTCATGTAATCTATGTTCATTCTCGTAATCCCGAATGCAGAAATCACGATAATCACATTTCGTATTAAATGCTTCTCCGTGTGTCCATTTGCCATTTGGACTTTGAAACGCACAATGGATTTTGTCAAAACTCTGAATAAGGACAATTCTTCCTAACAGATTACAAGAATCCCAGATTCACAGCCTATCCTCAGAATACTAACGATAGCTTGTATACTCTCCCAACTCACAGACTCCATCTTTATCTCATCTGTCTCAAATGAGTTTTACACAAATGTACCATTGGATTTTTCATAATACTAAGAAGAATTTTTACAATTATAATGCTAAGACCTAAAAAATTGAAAGTACATATAAATCGTTTATCTACTTCTAACCTCGAGTTAGTCTTATTTTGCAGGCAACCCTCTCATGATTTTTCCATACATCTTCCTATTGATTGGCAATAATGAACATTTTATATTACTCATTAATTAGTAATTAGTCTTGTTAAGTTAAGAAAATCAAAAAAAGAAATACGTAAATGTTTTTTGTGTGGACACTTTACTCCAATTTTAATACATATCAGTTATGACCAAAAAATAGGTTACATTTATACTACTATTTAGTTCAATAAAATAAAATTCGTATCTTGGAACTAAGAAGTATTAACTATTAATCACCTACAACTTAGAGTTTGTACTTAGTTGATCAAATTCTCCAAAACTTCTTCCTTTTTTTCCAATAATAATACAAATAATAAAATCCATGAAAATTACTTACTAACTAGTATACTCTATTTCAGATAACATACAATATAAATTGAGCTCTCGTCAGATTCACCGAATCTGAAAGGATAACTGATAAATAAATAAATAATGGTATTGCTGTAATTATTGTAGTAGTAGTATTTCATATTTCTCTAGAGAAAAAAAAAAAGTACGATTACAAATAAATACGTAAAATTGAAACCAAGATCGTCCCTCTTTTGGTGAGCGTTACGACTTTAAAACACCCTTCCTCACTAATAAGATACGGGGAAGAAAAGAACAGAGTCAGTCTGAGAGAGAGGGAAAAACCAAACCAAATTCTGAGAATCTTCAATCTCTTTTTGACTGTTTTTCCATGATTTAGTCAAGCTAGATTCACCGCCAATCTTTGTTTCTGTACTTTCTGATTCCTAAAACCCCTTCCCAATTGGCTAAAACCCAGTTGGGGAAATCCCTTCAGAACTGGTAAAGAAAAAAAAATGGTGCAAGCAAACCAATTTGCAGAGAGAGCTATCAAGGCTCTTGGTCCCCTTTTCAAACTCACTGAGGTTCATCTATGGTCAGTTCTCTATACATTCCAATTTATTGATCTTCTATCTCTTTTTTGTTGTTGTTGTTTTTTTTTTTCGCGGGAAAGCTATGGAGCTTCAAAGATTTTGTATCTTTTTTTTTTTTAATTTGTTTCAAGCAAAGTGAAAGTTGGAACTTTTTATCTGATTGTGATATGGGTGTGTCTGAATTTTTATTCAGGGATGATGGCTTGCCGGATAATCGTGGCGGGTTCTATACGGAATCAACTGTATGTGCAGTATCATTGGTTTATTTACTGTTTTATTTTCCCTAATTGTATTTGAATTCATGCATGGCTTTGAATGTGCTTGGTTTGCTCGTGTGATGAATACATCCAACTGAAATTTAATTCTATTTTCGTATTAAGTTGGTTTTTTTTTTTTTTTCCGTGTAGAAACCCATTGGCAAAAAAGATAAGGTTGGCTCAGACAATGGTGACACTTCACCTGGCAAGTTCTCTTTTTGTATTTCAATGTTTGGTATTTGTTTCTTGTGCAAGTTTGCTTTTTGTTGGTTGGTTAAGCCTTCTTTAGATCATAGTCGGGGATTTTTATTTACCATTGGGGCTGGAGTGTTTTTTGATGACTGTTTTTCTAAATCTTGGTTTTGTTTATGGTGCTTTTAGGGTTGATCACTTCACCTGACGAATTGGATCTTGCTAGACAAATGGAGGCACTGGGACTTCCGTTTGCGTTCCATTCCAACAAGGAGGTAGTTTTATTTAACCTTCTGTGTTATTGGTTTTTGGTAAAGCATTTGGTTTACTTTTGCATTTGTTTGTCCTTAATTTTTGTGATTAGGAATATGCCAAGTATGTTTTTGTTTTTGTTGGATATTTCCTTAATGTTTTTGATGTAGTTACTTTTAGTTTCCTAGTCCAGTCTTAAGTATGAAAGGGAAGGCAATGTGTGTCATTGATTTGATGATTATTGGTCTAATCACTTGTATTGTGCTTGTTTTGACTAAGTTTCATCTTTTGCCGAAGTGTACTAGTTCTGGAGGGAAAAGAAAACACTCAAAGAAGAAGCATATTCATACTCTTGATGATATCTGCGAGGAAATGGTTGAGCCGGCCAAAGTGAATGAGGAGAGGAATGTGTCTCTTAACTTTGATGATACAAGATGTGATTCTTTATGCTCTTCGTCCACTGTAGTCCAAATTGAGCCATCATATTCTGATGTGGTAGTGGGCATCAATGGACAAGACTCAAGTGAACCATCATACTCTGATGTGGTAGTGGGCATCAATGGAAAAGACCCAAGTGAACCATCATACTCACCATCATACTCTGATATGGTGGAGGGATTGGACCGGAGTGAACCATCATACTCACCATCATACTCTGATATGGTGGACCGGAGTGAACCATCATACTCACCATCATACTCTGATATGGTGGAGGGACTGGACCAAGGTGAACTGTCACACTTCGACATGGTGGAGAGAACTGATAGACTAGACGACCTGCATGATAAAGAATGGGAATCAAGAGCTTTACCGGCTTCTGATGGCTGTGCAGCTGATCTATGCGCTTCTGAAGATAACCTTGGGCTGATTAACAGTGTTTCTTATGAAAACAGGTGTTTCAATAATTTCATAAGAAAAGAAATACAAGTTGAGTCCAATCCAAGGTTAGATGATGAAACTTGCAATGGAAGCTGGTTGAAAGATTGCAGTGTTGATCACGGTGAGAAGGGACTGGATCAAAGGCAAATTGATTCTGAGTTGATGGAACCCTCCATGACTGATCGTGAAACAGAAACATTGCAATATTGTGCCAACGCAGAGACGGGGCAAGATTCTGAAGTTGCTTCCCATAATATTCAATTATGCATAGGCATGTCTGGTGACTGGAAAGCATGTTGGGACAATCATTACATGCAATACTACTACTTTAATATTGTTACAAATGAGTCTTCATGGGATGCGCCCCCTGGCATGGAAGCCATGACATGTGGAAGCGAAGTTGGAGATCAGACCAATTCAATTCCTGGAACGGAGAAAATAGATACAGTTTATCCAGCATCTGAAGATTTAAATGAGTTAGGTTTTTCCTGTGATCTGCCTCTAAAGCTTGACTATTCCAATGAACAAAAAAATGAAAATGGAACAGTGGACAAAACACTTGATGAGACAATTGGAATTGAAAGCAACGGTATTTATATAATAGAAAAGCCGAAAAAGAAAGTTAGAAGATTGAAATCAACTGGAAGGATGCCTCTTGGAAGAGAAGGTAAAAGTTTTTGCAGCATTTTGGCATATTTGGTTTGTGTTATAAGGCATGATTCTTCTGTTTCATTTTTTTGAGATTTATTATTTTCACACCCTCTAGTCTAGGCACATGCTTCAGTCTGTGTATGTTTAATGTCTATTTGAGCTGCAAAATTGAGTTTCATTCGATTGGTCAAATCCTTCAAGCATATTGACTGAGGATGTTTTACTTTGTCATGTACAATATACCTCGATGTTTTCTGTTATGTTAGAGGAGAAAAAATCACTTTCTGAAGTTGTACATGCTGCTTTAATGTTAGCTGTTAGTAGAATGACTCTTTTGGCGACTTTCAGGTTGGCTGATAATATCAGTTCTAATATGCTGTAGATCACGGCACACCTTTATTCTATTGCTATGTTCTGTCAAATATCTCAGTGACTATAACTGATGTTTTCTGCAGCTGCGCAGTTTGAAGGTGTTTTGGATGAGTGCTCGCCTAGCATAAGTAAATATTGGTGTCAAAGATATGCACTCTTTTCTCGATTTGATGAGGGCATACTAATGGATGAAGAAGGATGGTTTTCTGTAACCCCGGAGCTAATAGCAAAACATCACGCTTTACGTTGTGGAGTTGGGACTACAGTGGATTGTTTTACTGGAGCTGGAGGCAATGCGATCCAGTTTGCACAGAGGTGAGTAGGATCCAGTTTGTAATGTCTGCTGCATAATTGTTTAGATTTTGCACTTTGATGCTCCATCGAAACTTTAGCATTATGACTGATTGAGTAGATCACCAAAATTAATGACTGGCCTTATAGTTAAACACTATACACTTTGTTGACTTCTTTATTGCTGGAATCTTTATCTTTTATCTTTTTTTTTTTTTTTACATGTCCTGGAAAGATTTACTTCCATATGCACTCTGATTCTTGTTCTCCTTGACGTTTCAGAAGTCAGCATGTGATCGCAATTGATATTGATCCGAACAAAATACGCTTAGCACAGCATAATGCAGCAATCTATGGAGTTGATGACCGTATAGATTTTATAGTCGGGGACAGTGTGGTTTTGGCACCCCAATTAAAGGTATTGAAACTCCATACTGACGCAAGAATTGTTGTGAACATTGCATGTCAAAGATGCTGCTTTTAGTGTCTCCATAAGCAACACTGTCAGAGATGCAATTTCACCTTGTTGTCAAAGAAACATCATTTTCCTAATGATTTTCAGTTTTGGACTTCCGTGGTTTAAAGAATTTTCGAGTGACTTCATTGAATGTATTTATTTTGTTTCTCTTTCATGTCATTCTTCTGTTCAGAAGATTAACCTGCAATCTCCGTTCCATGCAGGGAGATGCTGTATTTCTGTCCCCGCCTTGGGGTGGACCTGATTATGCAAAAGAGAAAACATTTGACATCAAGACAATGCTTAAACCTTGTGATGGGTATTTTACTCTCTGTACCCTGGAAATGTAACATATGTGTCCTTTGAAGTCTCATCGTCTGTATACCGTGCATAACATTCTTCTACTTTCTGTGCATGTCTCTTTCGTTAGGTTTTATCTCTTCAAGTTGGCAACGAAAATCGCTCCGAAAATTGTGATGTTCCTCCCAAGAAATGTTGATATCAACCAAATAGCAGAGGTGGCTCTATCTGTGAATCCTCCATGGTCGTTGGAGGTTAGCCATATGTTCCTTTGAATAAATAAATTGTATATCCTGTCATTCTCTTCTATTACCAAGCATAACAAGATCTTGGAAATTTTGTCGGTGTTTTCTGTGTGTAATTCCAAACCCTCTGGTGTTAACTTTGGTGGTGGTTGTTTCAGGTAGAGAAGAATTACTTGAACAACAAGCTGAAGGCAATTACTGCCTATTTTAATCAACCAACCAAAGGTAAGATTATTTAGTCAGTTTAGGTCGCATTTGTAACCGTCTTTCGGTTTCGTTTCCCAGAAACCTTAAGAGTCGCATATTGAAACAAGTGTTGTGTTTTTTAATTATGCGCAGGAAAAAACCAGTAATCGTGCAAATGTTGTTTGACTAGGAAGACGATCATGCAGTTTTGTCAGTGGCAGATAAGGCTTGTCGTTTTCTCAAAATGAATCAAACTCCATACATGCACGAGGAAGAGTGATATTCGAATGAATCGCTTCTTTTGGCATGAGAAAAAAAAAAAATCATAATAGAAGGATTTAAAAGAAAAGAAAAAAAGGTTCACATTTTGCCTTTTTTTTTTTTTTGTACATATATAAACTCATGAAACTCATTGGTTCCTAAGACAAGAGAGGGGAAAAAAAAGTTCACTTTCTAGAATAGAAATTGTGGCTTTTTTTTTTTTACTGATGCTGTAATTTAGGGCAAACTCTGCAACCCTGTTTGTAAACAATGTGTGTTAATTATTTACCGAACGTAAAGTTTTGTGCTTGTACAAAGCATAAAACCAATGTTTTACAGGGGTTGTTGTGTATTTGATTTTTTTTTTTTTTTGAAAAGAGTTCGGTTCGATGTATTGTTTTATTTTAAAAAATGTACTCTCTCCGTTCCATAAGTATTGTCCAGTTTGAGTTTTTATTTCTAGTTCAAATTGTACTAAAAGTGAAAGTCCAAACTGGACAATAATTTTCGGACAGAGAGAGTATAACTTTTTTAGGACGAATAGAGGAGTATGTTGTCAAAAATTATGGACCGCATGCATTCCAGAAGTTGAAAATCTTTACGTAAATATTGTTGTTGTTAAACATGATTACGACATTAAGCTTGATTTCAAAAATTTTACTAAAATGCGGGCAGTGATTTGGTTCATCCTTTACGGAGAAAGAAATATGCTTCTTCTGTCAATTCACAGAGAAGGTGCTTTTTAATCATTATAATTTGAGACCTCCCAAAAATGTGTCTGAATTTCCTGTTTTCTTCTTTACTTTTTTGTTTCCTTTTAATCTTTTTGGCCTTGGGTTTGGAGGAAGTGGAAACTGAGATCTTCAGAGGCCATTTATTTCAAAACCAGAAGAGAGGGAAATAGAAATAGCGGTGGAAACTGCAAAATTTACGTGAACCTCTTTCGGCCTTTCTAACATCAATTATGCTCGAAAAGGGGGTTACTTTTTCTTCGTCTTTAATAGACACCATTTCAAAATCTGACTCAAAATGAGTACTAAATTCGACTAAATTCCAAACTTTGAATAGCGAGAATAAATAAGAAACAGCAAAAAGGGTCGAAATCCACTCCAGCTTACCCTTATTTTGGGCTCCCTGTTGAAGAATTTGAAACATAATGATCATATGACTCTCAAAGCATCCACTTAAAACGATTCTTCCGTGCAATTCGCAAATTGAAAGTTAAAAAAAAGTATTCAAAATTCCTAACCCCTAATAAAGCCTCTTTTGTTGATCGATCCCTATGTTTTTCAACGATGCAAATCTTGCGTGAAAAGAAACACACTAAAACCCTAATGCCTCATGTCGCCCATTGAGATACGTGAAGATTATGATCCTTTCCCGTAACATGTCAAGAACAAAAAGCTAATCGCAATGCATGCATTCTCTTTTGCAAATCATTACTTCTTCTGTCCAAAACCTATGTCTTTGTTTGAATATTTATATTTTAATATAATTTATACTAAAAACGAAATGGAAAATCATTTCATGACGAAAAAATCAAAATACATTATCCTTTCAAGTTTCAATATAATAGCAACGCAACAACTCAGAAAATAGGCTAGCAGTATTGTACAAATTCTTACTAAGGATCATGGTGCAATGCAACTGGTAGTTCTTAAAGAGGGATGATTGTAAATTTTCGGAACCTAACCTAAAGTTCCAATAATTTTTGCCTTTTCACCAAAACACATAGTAGTAGAAAATCAAAATCTTAATAATAATAATAAAAAAAAAGTGACACATTGGACCAGCCCTGAGACGTGAGACCAACCTAATCTGAATATACAGCTCACGAGTAGATCGGTTAAGAAGCTGCATTAGTATTGAGAAAAAGGTCTGGGTCTGACCGCGTGGGACAGCCCAAAAGTTTGGGTTAAACCAAGCAAAGTGGGCAATGGTTAGCTGGTTTCTCCAGGATCACACAAAGAAAAAGACGCACCAACCAGGCCAGGCTACCACACCTAACCAGCGTTTTACTCTAGTTGGATTGGAATAATCTCTTTTTGTTATTATATTTTGTTTTTCTGTTTTGGAGCAAATAGATGCGAGGAATTCACTAAAAAGTGTCATTATATTACCCAACACAAAAAGTACGACGAAACTGTATATTAAAAAAATGTTCAGGGATGGAGTCTCACAAAAATATATGTAGGGTTCTTCTAGCATATTTATAAATGTGGAGTTTACATAAGGCGAATTTTTCTGTAATGGAAATAATAAAAACACCTAATTGTAAAAACACCGCGCACATTAATAATATATCATAATATGAATACAATATATTTAAGCATTTTGAGGGTGCACGTATGCCCTAAATGTATTCATTCCCATTTCTTTTCGAGTTTTACATCAAACGTGGATATAAATAACTGACAAGTTATAGGTTAGACGAATAACTAAAATACTATATTTACTGATAGAATCTTAATTTTTAAATTACTGAGGCAAAACGAGAAAAAGGAATTATGTTATTGAATTCAAAAGAACACACTATTAGCACAAACAATTTGAATCCCCCGATTGCGGTCATGAATAAGCATGAGAATGAATCGGCAGGACTGATCCGTGGTGTCAAGAAGTTAATCAAGAGAAAAAAAAAAATAAAACGGTCGAAATACTAACATTTGTATTGGGTCCTAATGATTTGGTTTGTTGCGTCAACTGTGAAGGGTCGGAGTAGTTTGCATAAATCATACTCCCTCCATTTATTTTTTTATATATCCTTCTAGAGAATTCACCAAAAATAATAAAATATTAAATAATGTAGTTAAAATACAAAAATACTCTTATTTATTTTCTATACAATTCATCACAAACCAATAAAAATTCGTTATAAATATTGTTTTATTCCCAATGCAGGAGTAACATTGATAAAAAGTTGTCAAATGTATCTCGGTTTGTGAAAACGATACTATATATTTAAAAGAATTCATCAAACCCTAAAACGACATATATTTCAAAATAGAGGAAGTAATGCATTAGACCGTGGATATCTCAGATGAAAAATATTTCCCACCGAAAAATGTGCGTAAATTTCATGTGTTAGAACTTAGACGTTTGTGGTTTCCTCCTCGGTTGTAAAACAAAAGAATACTACCTGTAGAAATGTATGCTAGTATTACGTTAATTTGGTTCTAACAAAAAAGATTTTCGGTTATCAATTATTTATCCACACAGTAAAAAATGAAAAATTTTCACGCAAACAATTTTTTGTCTCAAGAACATTCACAAAACACCAAACCGGGCCTATCATTCATTGGTAAACTGAGTACGTAGTAGAGACAAAATCCATCAATTTTTATGTAGTAAATGCTTTCCACCATCCCATCAATAGCTGGAAAAGCAGTAGTAAATGCTCAAAGTAGTACAGTAAAAGAAAATTGTACTCGAGCTTGGTGTGGTATATAATCAAGACAAAATCCATGCATATTTTTTGCAGGATCCCTATGTTGTAGTAAATAAAAAAATTTGTTAAAAATAAATATTACTACTACTGCAGAATTCACCAGGGAAGCTGAGTTCTAGAAATGGAGAAGTCCCGGTTTGACCGGCTTAAATTCAGGCTCATGGGTTGAGACATAATAAATGTATCCAAGAAAGAAAGAAAAATACTCGTGTCACGGGAGGACTTTCTTTATTGTCTCATTTTTTTTTATTTTTTTTGCCAACTCCGACAAGTCAATTGCCAATAAATATGTTGGTGAAAAAGCTTGACATTAATCCCTCCACCTCACACACTCACCATTCAACGCGAAATTATAAAAACATATGTCCGAAACAACAATGAACAAAATAATCATGTTACGACAGAACGATGTAATATAATTATCGATTCAATGAGCAGATGGATTTAGTGAAGTTTTCAAATTAATCCCAAATTTATGTGGCCAACTCCGTGAAAATTGAAAGAAATAATATTGGAACAGAACGTTCACAAAAAAAAAATTAATTTAAATGTGCTACGTGATTGTTTGGTAATAATCGAGTGTAACAAAAATTATAAAAACAGGATGATTTTTATTTGTTAATTGTACCAGCTCAACTTCAGCATGAGATTCTTGGATTCGAGTCTGCTGCTCTCTACCTTCTTATTTAATTCCGCATTTATTGAGAATTGGTGTGTCCACTGTCCAAACAGTGCAAGAGAACAATGAATATATATTAGTACTATTACATGGAGAATCAATTTAATGGGAAATACATGCATGTACTAATAATCATGACAAAAAAATTTATATGAATTTTTCTGTATTATAGGGTATCTACCTGACAATCTAGAATGAACCCTTTCAGATTAGATGGATACGGATTACGCGTCTTAATAATTCCAATCAATTATTTCCTATTTCCTAGGCATTATTTCTTTTTGGTTAAAAAAAAAAAAAACCAAGCAAGCAAGCGTGACCGTGTCCCATCCAATTTTTGTTAGTAGTAGTTTGGATACGGAAGTTTTAGTAAAAAGTTGTTAATTATTTGTATAAATTTTGCGCTTCTTTTTATTAAATTCCTAACTCGGTCGCAGAAGATTATTTACCTTTTTTACTTAGTGATTAGAGATGTTTTGATTGATAAATAGGATTGTAGCTATCACCTATATTCATCTTGGCCATAAATATAGTGATTTTTGAGTTAAATAATGATTGATCTTATTAATTAAAATTAAAATGACTAATAATTAACGATAAATATTTGTACACTCAAAATAGACTTACATAGCGAAATGGAAGTTGTAATAGAATTTCAATAAATAAGACAATTTCAAGGTCAAATCAAATTCTAAGGGTCAAGACAGTGAGTGAAATAATCAAACAAAGAAAGACAAAAAAGGCCAACATCCAAAATCAAAATGTCCCACAAAAAAAAAATACTCTTGGACCCCTTGCTCTTCCTGGTTAATTTGATCAAAAGATTCACGCCCATCATCATCCTCAATCCTCATGCATGATCATTTTGATGACAACCCTTCTCGCATACGGCAGATTACTACTCATCTTTGTCCATCTCCATAAAAGAAACTACTAACTCCTGTACTTTTCCCTTTTCTTTTTGGTTAAATTTACTGTCCCTATTTGCAAAAGCAGTAGAATCCATCTACGTAAGAGGGTTGGCCTTGGCAGTAGTGGCAGTGTCACACCCAATTTTTTTAATCAAATTTCTTTTGGTTTATAGGGAAAAAAGGGGAAAAAAAAAAGAAAAAGAAGGAAGAATAGAAAAGAGAACCCATTTGTTTATGTATATCAATGACAACTGACAAGGTTTAATAATTTAATACTATAAACTGGTCTTTGATTTGGGTTTCACAGTTAAAGGGGTAAACTTTGTTGATTAATCCAATTGAACAGTGAGTTGGTAAGTGTTATTTCCACAACCAGTATAAACAAATGTTTTCTTTCTTTGTGTACTCACATTATAGTATTCTCAGAAACCCCTCAATGATGAAGAATTTGTTAAACCATTATATAATGCTCTGATCCAATCATGCCAATGTAGATAAAAGCAAGCTCCCTTCATATTTTAGGAAGGAAACAAAAACTAATCCAATTTTGACAATGCCGCCGGAGCTGGCTGCTTTTCAAGACCGGAGAACGGTTTCCGGCTTCAGAACCCGGGACATTAGCCCTGACTCTGTTATCTTTCCGGCCGATTCCAACTTCAGCATTTTCTCTTCTAATTCTGCTAGTGTTGACCGTTGTTCTTTTGCCTCCGATGTGCCTGATCAAGACTCCAGTGTTTCCGACAATTACCAAGTATGAGATTATTTCCCTTTTTTTTTTCTTTATTTTTGTGGGTATTTCTTCCTGCATTTGAAAAAAAAGTTACTGTCATGACAATTTGGGGATTCAATGTGAATGTGTCTTGTAGTTCCTTGACTTTTTGTTATCTGGGTTTGGGGGAAAAAGTTTCAAACTTTTAAATTCCGTGATTGTTGTTATTGATTATATCACGAGGGAAAAATAATGGTAGCTGCAACTGTGGCACATGGAATTTTGTATATAGTGTTTGAAAAGGAAGGATTTTTTTTTTATTTTTTGTATGGTTCGAAGAGTTGAAATCTTTGATTTGAACAGCATTTGGCAGGGCATGAATTACGTGAATCTTCAGCTGCTTCAAGTGGTGGTCCATATGTAGATCTAGATCCGCACGATGTCACGGTACGCAACAAGAATAGTGTTCATCTCACCAGAAAAGAAAAACCTAAAGGTAGTAGACGAACACCTTTTTAAGTTTTAGCCCAGAAATGAAAATGTTGTAACTTTGGTTTGTTTTTTTTTTTGGTCAGTTCAAGAGTTAGAAAGCAGCGAAGTTGAGACTGAAGATGATAATTCAGTTCTTGATTCAGCAAGGAGTTCGTTTTCTCAAGCCCTGAAAGGTAAATTTGTTGGTGCATTGCAGTAGGATAATTATAGAACCTCTTAATTCAATGTTCAGGTATTGGTATTCATTTCTGTGGGTTGTTTTTTGTGATTTTAGAATGTCAAGATAGAAGGTCTAGACCAGATGCTGTAAAGAAGAAACAGAATAGACAGAGGCCTGCTTCTCTAGATTTCAATAACGCTGTCAATACATCTTCCCCGCGATTGGGAGTACTGAAGAAAACTTCTGTGCTGAATCCTCGGACTGGCACATTTCCTAGCCCTGGAACACCAAACTATAGGCACAAAAGCGTTGGGATGCAAAAGGGGTGGAGCTCAGAGCGTGTTCCATTGCCTAATAATACTAATAGAAGGAATGCAAGTGCACTTGTTCCTTATAACAATAATGGAAGAACACTGCCTTCTAAATGGGAAGATGCAGAGAGGTGGATTTTCAGTCCAGTTTCAGGGGATAGTCAAGTGAGGCATTCAGTTCAGCAGGCACAAAGGCGGCCGAAGTCAAAGAGTGGGCCACTTGGACCTCCGGGGATTGCATATCATAATATGTACTCGCCGGCAGCCCCCGTGTTTGAAACAAGGAATGTTGAGCATGATGTTGCAAGTTCTCCCTTTTCAGCTGGAGTGATGATGGCAGATGGGTTGCCCTTCCAGTGCAACAAAGGAGGATATGGAGGTCTTGGAAACTTCCCTGCATTCCTGGAGCCTTGTATGGCAAGGTCTATAAGTATACATGGATGCTCTGAACTGATCAGCCAATCTTCCCTACCTGGTTTCCAAGGTAACTCCTTACCCTATCATGAAGAAATGATCTTCAAATATGCTATACAATATTGTTTACATTATATTTTTTCTACTTCTTTTCTGTAAATATCCTTGATTATGCACTTGATAGGCTTCCCTTGAAATTTTTGAATATGTATTACATGCCATTGTTGTGCTTGTGCAAATTTTCTTGTTGGGCTTCTTATTTCTTCACCTAATTTGTGATACTTGTGGCATTGGATTCAAAGTCTTGCAAATCTTGTTGCGAAGATCTGGTTTCTAATATGTCCTTAATTTTGTGGCCATATAGAAGAGAAACTTGATGGCGGAATACCTTCAGATGCTAATGTGTCGCGCACAATCTCAAGAAGGGATATGGCTACTCAAATGAGCCCTGAGAGCAGTAAGCACTCATCTCCAGGTCGCACGTCATCGTTTTCCCCAACAACTGCAATCCTACCCATCGTAGAAGTGCAAAGCGTCCACAACTCTAGACCTGAAGTAAGGGATGTTCAAGTTGATGAACAGGTTACAATGACTAGGTGGCCCAAGAAAAATAGAACTCGAATCCCTGGGAGAGGCTCAGGAAATTCTGATGACTGGAAAAGGAAAGCTGTCGAGATCCGTACTGCTGGTTGGGATGTTTCAGACACAGCCAAGGCTATCTCAAAGTAAGTTACTCACTGAGCACTTTCAAATTGTACTGTACTAAGTGCTTCGCACCCAAAAATATACTAAGTTCTTCGCACCCAAAAAAAAAAGAATGAATGAAATGGATGGTTTTTATAAATCTATACTTTTCAAATGCCTCAAGATCCCAGTGTTTGTCAGTTGTAATTGTAATGTAAAGAACTTCATCTCTCTTGCAAGAGTTTTAGTCACCGTGGCCATACCATAGAAGTGTGACATTGGCGATGCATGTGAATGCAATTGACTTTGAACTATCATAGTCTCAACACATTGTATGTGTATGTGTAACTAAATGCATCTTTGCCGTCCAGCTTGTTACTAATCTAAATCGTGAGTTACACCTTTTTATTCTTAACCGTGTTATACTTCATATTCCAGGTTAAAGAGAGAAGAAGCAAAAATCAATGCTTGGGAGAACCTGCAGAAAGCAAAAGCTGAAGCAGCAATACGGAAACTAGAGGTTTTTTCTAATACCATGACTTTTGAAGTTCTAAGAAAGACCAGACCCGTCATTATTCTTTGTTTTGTATGAATCCTTGATTGAAATGATATTCTTTCAGATGAAACTGGAGAAAAAGAGATCTTCGTCAATGGACAGGATTATGAACAAACTGAGATCAGCGCAAAAGAAGGCTCAAGAAATGAGAAGTTCTGTGTTGTCAAACCAGTCGCAACAAGTTGCAAGGAGCTCCTCCAACAAAGCTCTATTCTTTCCTCGAACTCGCCATATGGTTTCCTTCAGCGGCTGCTTTACCTGTCATGCATTCTAGATCACTAACAGCCCTGTAGCTCAGTTACTTTTGGTATGAGATATCAATTTAATTCTGCATTGTTTTTCTTTTTCAAGTGATTAATCTGATTCTTTAGTTAAATGTCTTTGACGCAAAATCACTTTCTTTATTTACTAATTTTACCTGGCACGTCTGAAATGTAACTGTGAGCTTCATAATTTCAGCATCAATTCTTGAACCGAGTTCGAATGCTTATTGTTTTTCTGAACAGGTATTTGACGAACGAGAAACAGATTGTACAGTCCGTTGTAGGTGAAATTTGGTACTCAGTAGCACAAGAAACAAGGTCCTCTTAGTGCATATCTCTGATAAACACTTATGGTAATTTCAAGCTCCTGATATCAATATTCCTGTGAACATGGCATGCTATATGTATGATTTACCAGAGACTAGTAATCCAAAACTACGAGGCATGGGACATCTCATAATTCGCCCCATGAAATGCCGAAGTTTAGGAACAAAAGCAAGAAAAGGGACCTCAGGGCATAAGAGATTGCCTAATTCTGCTGTAAAGTAGTTGAGGTTATCTGCATTAGGTGTTTCCATCTGTTGAGTGGAAGTTAGCAATCTGAGGTTAAAAAATAGAAAGATATTTGTATTCTGGCCTTATATTTTGTGCTTAAGTGGAAGACGTGGTACTTATATTGTAGCAATATCTGTTCTGGTCTAAATGGTATATAGAGCTTTCGTAATCTACTTCATAAGCTGTCTTTGTTCCAGATTTAAGAAATGTGCAAACATGGAAGAAGTATTTCTCTTGATCTATTCTTCTGTGTCTGAAATCAATATGAACAAGAATTTTGCATCAACATCATCACAATGTGTGTTCGAAGTTGGTAGTTCACTATCTTCTCCGAATGCAGTAGTCCTTAGCCACTCCAGAGTCCAGAGTATGTAAACTATGATTCACCTGTCACGATTTTCTTTGGCATCCCAGCGAGGTTCATATATGTTCTGTCCAAATGCTTTAGTGCATGCCCTGGACATTAAACATTGCCAGGAGAATTAATCTAGTTTCGAGCCTTGCATCTCAGTGGATTCTGGTAAAAAGTAGCCTAACCGCGTAAGATTAACATAATCTTGAGGACCATGATTCGATAGTCCAGGGATTACTAACCCAACCATCCTAAACATAATCTCAGGCAAACCTTCTCTGTACTCCTTTCCTCTTGCAAGAGGGAGGATGAAGCTCCTGGTCAACTCAAAAACCGAATTCAAAACCTTTGGTAAAACATATAGCACTGAAAAGTAGTTCTTGTTTGGTTCCTCTTCTAATACCTGACGATGAGTGTGAGAACAAAAGGTGAATAATGCAAAGTTATGGTACTATGTCAAAAAAAAAAAAAAAACACATTTTTCTCAGTTAAAACATAATACGAAACAAAATAAAATTCCTTACCTGTCCTTGATAGAGGCTGTTGAAATAGAGACAATGGCCAAAGTGCTTAAACATGAGGGTCTTGTCATCGTAAGGCAACCGTGGAACCACATCATTAGCGTAAACATATCTACAATATTTCACGTTGTACCTTTTAAGTTTTTCCTTCATAAATTCTCCAAATTTCTCATCACCAACTCTGGGCTGTCCGAATGTGTATACTCCTTCCATTCTATCCAGCAGCCATTTCTCTTCATGTAAACTCAAAATGGCTGGAAACAGAATAGCCAAAGCTCCTCCTAAGCTGTGACCAGTGACCATGAATTTAGCATTCTTGTTTTGGCTCAATATTTCTCGCAGCTTCTCTCTAATGGTGTAGTAAGCAAATTGCTTTGTGCCTGAAGCAGTTTCAATTTCCTTGGGCCAACCTTTATCTTTGTGTAGGCCTAAAGCTTTCTGAAATCCAGCATGAAGTCGGCCCACACCTTCCAGCTCATACCATGATAGGTTCAAGTCTGTGATCCAGTCATCTGCATCAAATGGGCTTGTCCCCCTGAAGGCCACCATTATTAGGTCCGGATCAACTTTCTTGTCTTGGAACATGATGACCTGAGTTGAATGTTGTTCTTCGTATTCTGCGTGTGACATGAAATTAATGTAAAAATGTCAATAACGAAACTGAAATAATATATACAAGTGAAAACACAATCATATGTTAAGAAACAACTTCTTTTAACACTCCGGTCTCAAAATAAAATAATTAAATAAAATTCTTTGCTTCTTGAGACTTTGTTGTCCATTTAATTAATTGTTCAAAAGAGTTCAATTTTAGCCCTTTTTTGGCCTTTTTTCCCTTCCAAATGTCAATTTAGGATGGATTTAAAGTTACTTCTATGGTCTTTTTCTTTTCCAGTGGAATTGACAGGTAAACACTTGGTATTTAGTGATCAAACGTAATGAACTCTAATCAAGGAAAATCACTTAGCAAAACATTAAATTACAAAATAATTAACTACCCATTCGTAATAAAGGTGAAACATAATGTAGAACATTTGAATTTTTTTCCTACTCCCTCCGTTCCACAGTTATTGTCCAGTTTGGATTTTTATTTCTAATTCAAATTATACTAAAAGTGAAATTTCAAACTGGACAATAATTTTGGAACAGAAGGAATATGTGTTATATGTGTCATTCTACATATTTTCACTGTACAGGCAGAGTCTATCTTTATCACTACTACTCTGACTTTTTAATAATAATGAATTTTTAGGTAGTGGAGTTTTGTGGATTTGTCTCATTGAATATAACCTCGCGTGCTGTTTCTAAAAGTAATTTTATAATGTGCCAATTGAAATAGAATAGGGTTATCCGATTTTTCCCATTTTCTCCTGGTTCATAATTAAATGATGACTAGGCAAACGATGTTATTTTTTTCCTACCCACTTCCACAAGTAATTATTTTGTTCATCGTGATATCTTTGCATCATCTCAACAACAACAACCGATTAATCAATCACGATCACCTATCTCCATTTTCCTTCTAAGCAATGTTTTTAAGAACTTTCTACACGTCTTAAAATAATCGTTTTATATATTTTTGAGACTGAGGTAATACAATGTTAAATTATTGTACATGATGTATCTTTCAATTTGCCGTGTTGACACCAAGACAAGGAAGCTTGTTAATTTGGGTTTTTGGTTATTATTAGTCATTATTTATTTTAGCTATATAATTACGATGTGACATGCACTACTATACAAGTAATATAAATGGATGAGGATCAAGGTCAACGACAATGAACAAGGAAATTCGCAAGAAACAAAGAAATGTTAATAAAAAAAATTAATACTATTAAAAAAAGTACTTCGACTGACCATTCCAAAAGTTGAAGAACCCCAAGAATTCCATCTGAGAAATGAAACAAAAGAAACACAAATGTTTTAATAATAATTCATAGTACTATATATTACTATCATATAGTACAACCACAAAATAAAAACTGTAATTTGGAAAAGCATTATGGCAGAAAGTTTAGTTTACCTGCCAGTGATCGTTCACGGCGGTTTTCACGAAGGCTTCATTCTCGTAGGCTATTTTAGCTGCCATTACTGACAACGCCGGACCGTACCGTTCGTCGTTGACTCTATTATTACTATCCAAATCCACCCGGGTGTCCAGACTTCCGATCATTGACGTGTATACCGCCGACGAACTATCCGGCCTCACCACATTTCCTATCCAAAATCAAAGGCCGTCGGCGTCACACCACAAATTAATAATTAATTAATTATCTTTTTCAATATTTCCAAGGTCAATACTAACAAAATTGTATATTTGTAAATATTGTCGTAAATAAATGGTTATACATATTTGTGATTGTCTTGAACGTAATTCCAATACATACTTTCATTTGTCTTTTAGTAAAATCAAAGATGAAGATATTTACCCAAAAAGCATTGTTACTTGCATGCATGCACAAGAAAAAAGTAATTTCCGAATTCGATAAATTCAACCATAAGAAATTTAAAGGGGAGGAGGAGAATGAAAAAAATAAAAATAAAAAACAAAAAAAAAATTCAAACCTGTGAAAATGTTCCAAAAAAGACGGCCATATCCACCATTGCAAGTGGGATAATTCATCCAATTCTCCACGTTTGAACCAATCTTGGCCATCGGATTTTTTAGCCGGAAAAATACCTTCTGCATGACCACGGAAACAAAAATGAGCCATCTTCCCCGGAGGCCGCGCAGCCGGTCTTCCACCGGCGTGTCGAAGAAATCCCGTTTCTCAAGATCCGACGAGTAGAAGATCCGAAGGAGATCCAAATAACCCGCTTCACTTGGATGCAACACCAAATAATCCGTGAACAAGTTTTCTCCAGAAGCCATAGTTTTACTTAGAAGGAATGGATATATGGTTGGATCAAACCTGTGAAAAATTGTTGTTGTTACGTCAAAGTCTCAAAATCTGAAAATGTTGAAGTGTAAAGCTAAAACATTAATGGAAGTAATAAAATATATGTACTAGCTAGTAGCAGTATTTATATTGGAGTCATGTGAAATGATGCTTGACAAAGTGGATTTCCTCGAAAAGAATAGAACTAGTCATTTGATTTGAACTGATTAATTAATTAAGTTTGTAATCAAAACCGAGTAAAAGGAAATTGTTTTGAGTTGTTCAAGTTTGAACTTAATCTTAACAAAAAGTTAATATTCCCCACTGCACCTTAATTGTCCCCAAAGTAATTCACATGGATTGGATTATGTAAAATAATGAATAGGGGTTTTAACTTTTGTCTGAATTAATCTAACCTAATTAAGTGCTTACAGTTATTTTAATCATGGCACATGTGAATCATTAATTATCTCTGCTAAGCTTGATTATTCTAAGTTGTGGGAACAAATACGTACATTATTATTATTATTATTATTTTTATATATGAACAGTAGAAGTAGGACCAAGATTTGCATTATTTGCCGCGAAAGAGACGTGTGGATCAACTTCTTTTTGGTCTTGTTCGTTCATAATTACGGACAAATTAGCTACTGTGTTACTACTAGTAGGAAAACACGTGATAAATAATATTCATAATTCAACACTTTGTTTCTTTTAAGCTAGTTTTCTTCTTAATTAGGCCATATTGATCTGGACTTCCTGAGTTTTGATCATCTCATTTGCAGTTCCTCGTATCTTCCTTGGACTGCTCAGACTTTCGTTTCTTTGAGCGTAGTTTTGACCTATTTTTAAAGACAAAGAAATTAAATCAGGAGATTAGCTTATGTGTTTTTGAAGGATAATTGGGGAAGATGAAGATAATTGGTGAAGTGTATATTATATTTGGCTTCAATAGTAGGGTTTTCCAAAGAGGGAATTCCATACTAGTGTATTTATTTGATTTTAGACTTTTTCTTGCTTTCTTTTGTACCGCAAAAAAAATAAATAAATAAATAAAATTAACTTTGGGGTTTCCCATCAATTTGTCGATAGAAAGAAAGATTAAACAAACATTTCATCACGATTAAACGCCTAATGAGGAAGCTTCAAAGGAAAAGAATTTGTTTCTTCGGACTTGAAGACCCAATAATAATGAATTAATCTTCAGCTTTTTGTGATGTAGGTCATATAAGATTTGTAATTTTTCCACCACTTGTAACGTTTGGTCGGTCGGCGACAATAATAGAATTTCAAAGTCCAACCTGGAATAATCAAATTGTTTCATGTTGGTCGAATATTTTAACCATCCCACAGTTTTTCACTTCTGGTAATATAGCTTTGATCTTTTTATGAAAGGCAAAAGACCCCCCAACCCCAACTAAAACTCACATTTCCTTGGTGTTTCATTTTGAAGAAAGAATAGAAAAAAACATATTGAATAAAATTTATCAAGATTGAAGATGGCGGACCGCATAAAAAAAACACGGATGTGTGAATTACTCTAGTTAATTACAATGGTGGAACCAGAATTTTAAGAAAGTAGAGCCAAAGATTGAATTTTTTCCCTCCAAGAGAGAATATTAAAAAAATTTAGTACATCTACAGCAAAGCAAAAAATCTAAAGTAGAGGAGCGACCGCCCTTACTATCTCCATCCCTGTGTTATTGCAGAGTAGTACTGTTATCAATGACTTTACCCAATTATTCTAGTTTTGATTCTTGTAGTTCAACGGATTTTGGTAAAAAGTACCCCAACCGAATAAGATTAACATAATCTTGAGGACCATGATTTGATACTCCAGGAAATACTAACCCTATGATCCTAAATATAATCAAAGGCAATCCTTCCCTATACTCCTTTCCCCTTGCAAAAGGGATGATGAAACTCCTTGTCAACTCAAAAACTGCACTCAAAATCTTGGGTAAAACATACAACACCAAAAAGTAGTTCTTGTTTGGTTCCTCTTCCAATATCTGAGAGATTTCAGGAAACATCCAATGAGAACAAAATACTTATAGCTAGCTAGACAGCTTGAAAACACATATTTTTTTTACTGTAACAAAATAGTTGTAGTAAAATAAATTAAGTTACCTGTCCTTGGTAAAGGCTGTTGAAATAAAGACAAGGGCCAAAGTGCTTGAACATGAAGGTCTTGTCATCGTAAGGCAAGCGAGGAACCACGTCGTTAGAGTAAACATACCTAGAGTATTTCACGTTGTAAGTTCTCAGTTTTTCCTTCATGAATTCCCCAAACTTCTCATCACCAACTCTGGGCTGTCCAAATGTGTACACTCCTTCCATTTTATCCAACAACCATTTCTCTTCGTGGAAACTCAAAATGGCTGGAAACAGAATTGCCAAAGCTCCTCCTAAGCTGTGGCCAGCGACCATGAATTTTGCATTCTTATTTTGGCTCAATATGTCTCTCAGTTTTTCTCTAATGGTGTAATAAGCGAATTGCTTTGTGCCTGCTGAGACGGGATCGATTTCCTTGGGCCAACCCTTATCTTTTTGAAGGCCTAAAGCTTTCTGGAATCCAGCATGAACTCGGCCGGCACCTTCGATTTCGTACCATGATATGTTTAAATCTGTGATCCAGTCATCGGCATCGAATGGACTCGTCCCTCTAAAGGCAACCATGATTAGGTTTGGATCAACCTTCTTGTCTTGGAACATAATGGCCTGTGTTGTGTATTGTCCTTCGTATTCTGCGTGACAATTAATGGAGAAGGTGAACTGAAAGTTAATATATAAATGGTCACAACCACCAGTGATTCCATGTAAAGTACTACTCATTCTGTCTCGAAATTATTGTCCAATTCAGATTTTAATATCCAAACTGAACGATATTAAAATTTGAGACGGAGGGAGTACAAGATTTAAGCTCTTTTCGTTCATGAAAATGGATAAATTTATTGGATGAACAAGTTCATACATTTAGTAAATTAAACACTCTTTATTTAGGTACTGGATATGTTATTTTGAACAATGCAGGAAATATGTTATTTTCATCCCATTTGCCGAGCTGAGACAAAGACCATGAAGCTTGTACGTATATGGTGGTTTGCATCAATCATCATTAAGCTTAAGAGTGACAAATTACCCTGTCATGCGACAGAGACTTCTTGAATTGAATATCGGATTAGGTCAACATGACAGTGAAAAAGGGTAGAAAACTTGCAAAAGCACATAACACATATTGAAACATATCAATAATTTTTGAAAGTACTCCGACTGACCATTCCAAAAGTTGAAGAGGCCCAAGTATTCCATCTGAAATGAAACAAAAAAAAGTTCGTTAAATTAATAATGAAATGTATCCGATATAATGCCTCGACTTTTCTAAGAGTAAAAAAAAAGTAGAACACATCTGTAGTGTAATTACTCTTCCTTTTGTGTGTGTGTGTGTGTGTGAAGATGGTGAATTTTCTGAGAATTCTTTAATCAGAATGATTTCTAGAAAGGTAATTTACCTTCCAGTGATCTCTCACAACAGTAGTAATGAAGGCCTCATTCTCGTAGGCTATTTTAGCGGCCATTACGGATAATGCCGGACCATACCCCTCGTCGTTGACTCTAATATTAGCTTCCAACTCCACCCGGGTGTCCAGACTTCCGATCAGTGACCTGAATGTTGCCGACGAGCCATCCGGCGTCACCACATTTCCTGTAAATTAGGAGGGAACATCCCCAAAATTAGATTTGTTATTTTATCATTTTTTGGGTACAAATTACATTCTGAATATAGCTATTCCTTATATATGATTTAGGACTTATATTCTTAAAGATGGTAGTGCCGAATGTTTTTATAGAATAACAAATGTAATCTGTTTGAGAATTATTCTCCAGTTTAAACTTTTATTTATAGTTCAAATTGTACTAAAACTAGAAGTCTAAACTGAACAATGATTTTAGAAAAGAGAAAGTATTCTATATCACAAAGATGGTTATACATAAATTAATACGAAAAATTCAACGAGAATTTCGTATTCGGTGTGAGTGTTACTTGGGCACGATTTCAGTAAGCACACCTTATTTCTCATACCATGCATGCATAATGAACATGCAAATCCGTACTTTATTAATTTGGTCAATTTAAGAAGGTAAAATATATGTTCACATTAATCATCATAAAATATTGTAAACGATTATGAAACCAAACCTGTCAAAATGTTCCAGAAAAGACGGCCATAGCCACCATTGCTGGTTGGATAATTCAACCACTTCTCCATGATAGATCCCACGGTCGCCAAGGGTTTTTTCAGCCGGAGAAGCATCTTCTGGCCGGCGAGGGAGACGAAGACGACCCACCGCCCTCGAAGGCCGGTCAGCCGGTCTTCCACCGGTGAATCGAAGAAGTCGTGTTTCTCTAGACGTGATGAATAAAAGATCCGAAGAAGATCCAAATGACAAGCTTCTCTTGGATGCAGCACCAAATAATCAGCTGTTGCTAAATTTTGTTCATCGGAAGCCATAACTTAAAATACTAATATTGACCAAAAACTTCAATATAGGCAAACAGTCTAGCTACTACGATAAAGTGTTATCAACTTCAACTCTAAAAATACGTTCAAGTATGATGTTAAAACATTGGAACATACTACTACTAGAATTTATACTAGTGCAAATTGTTAATAAAGAAGATGCTAGACACACTGGATTAGGTATGCAACTCATGATTTATTTTATTAATTAATTCATTGGTAATTGAGCTGTCCAAGCTTGAATCTAATTATTTGAAGTACAAAATAATACACAATGACCCCGCAGCTTGTTAATTATCCCTAAAACAATTCACAAGGGGACTCTGTGTATTATTTGAAAAATTGTTGAAGGGTGTTTTAACTTTTGTCTGCATTAACCATCTAATTGTTCATTAAGCAAATTTCCTAATAACACCACTTGTGAATTCTCTATTATTATTATGTCTGCAAGAATAATTAAAAAGAATTTGATGTTATCTTTTAGGTTGTGAAAACAGAAGTAGTAGGACCCAGAGTGCAATATTGCCACGAAATGAAAGACACATGTGGAACCCTTTTTTGGTCTCGTACGTAATTATGAAAATTATTAACTACTGTTACTTGGAAAAAACGTGCTGAAATAGATTAATTGAATTATTCATCAGTAACTTTTTCTTAGTCCTTTCTTTTTTGGTGGTATTTGGCTCTACAGCGTAATGTGACCTATGCTGATTTTTTTTTTTGAATTATTTTTTATTTTATTTTTTTAATTTTTGCTTTTAGAAATTAAAATGACTGGATTGGCCGTAACTGGTGTGGTTTGTCGGGGGATCTTTGAGGTAGATGGAGTGCGGGTTTTCATGAATAATATCGAATAATTAATTGCAAAAATGTAAAATTAAAGTATTTTGAAGATGGTTAAGATTTCAGCCTTTCTGGAACACAACGACCACCGACACTACACATTCATGAAAAAATCTACAATAGGGAAAAACAAGGGCTCCTCATGGTCTTTTTTTTTTTTTTTATCACTAATGACTAGAATTAGAAAGATTAATCGACTAGTTTTAATTGAAATGGTGAAAAGGAAAAAAATCTTAATTTATTTTATTTTTAACCTCTGTTTCCTTGTGATTGCGTTTTCGGACTTATGCAATCATGAATTTTAAGCTTCTCCTGAAGCACGTGTGTAATTTATCTCTCTCTCTCTCTCTCTTTTTGTTTTTTTACTACTTTGTAAAAAAAAGATTGGCCGGCCAAAATCTAGAATTTCACAAATTCGATCCTGCTAGATTAATCTTTTATTGATGTTGATCGAATATTTTGTCAACCTACATTATTTCAGTTTTAGTGTACCATTCATTTGTTAAGCGTATATAGCTTTGATCCGTTTTGTCGATAAGGAAAAGAACTTACATTTCTTGGCGTTTTATTAATAAGTACTCCTTCCATCTCATGATTATTGTCCAATTTGAGTTTTCATTTTTGGTTCAAATTGTACTAGAAGTGAAATCTCAAACTGGACAATAATTTTGGGATAGAGGGAGTACTAAAGAAAGTACATAAAAAAAAAAACATATTGAAGCAAAACATTTATCAAGGTTGATGAGAGCGGACCACATAATACTATGAATTACTAGGTATAGTTAATTACAAAATGCAGAGGATCAATGACAAAACTAGAGACTTAATGAAGCAAATGCGAAATAAATTAATTTATTTTGTTCGCATGGGAGGGGGAAAAAAAAGAGTCTGATAATGTATAAAGGCATGTGAACGACTATCCATATACTAGTAGTCTCCTATAAATGGTTTGACCTGATTATTCTAGTTTTAATTCTTGTGAATCAACGGATTTTGGTAAAAAGTAGCCTAACCGAGTAAGATTAACATAATCTTGAGGACCATGATTTGATATTCCGGGGAATATTAACCCAATCAATCTAAACATAATCTCAGCCAACCCTTCTTTGTACTCCTTCCCTCTTGCAAAAGGGATTATGAAACTCCTCGCCAACTCAAAAATTGCATTCAATGCACTGGGTAAAATGGATGGCACTGAAAAGTAGTTTTTGTTTGGCTCCTCCTCTAATACCTGAAAAAATTGGGTACAAAAGATTAATAACAACAATGTCAAGGCAAAAAATGAAATATGTATAATTATTGCACTCTATCAAAACATATGTTCTCGTTTTAAAAACAAACACTTGATTCGTTCCTATTTATACTAGGATTCATAAATATGAATGAAGAGATGATTTTTAATTTTTTATTACCTGTCCTTGGTAGAGGCTGTTGAAGTAGAGAGAAGGGCCAAAATGCTTGAACATGAGGGTCTTATCATCGTAAGGTAATCTTGGAACTATGTCATTAGAATAAACATACCTATGATACTTAACGTTGTAAATTCTAAGTTTTTCTTTCATAAAATCTCCAAATTTCTCATCTCCAACTCTAGGCTGTCCAAATGTGTACACTCCTTCCATTCTATGTAGCAGCCATTTCTCTTCATGGAAACTCAAAATGGCTGGAAATAGAATGGCCAAAGCTCCTCCTAAGCTGTGACCAGTGACCATGAATTTTGCATTCTTATTCTGGCTCAATAATTCTCTCAACTTTTCTCTAATTGTGTAATAAGCAAATTGCTTTGTGCCTGAAATGGCTTGAATTTCCTTGGGCCAACCTTTATCTTTGTGTAGGCCTAAAGCTTTCTGAAATCCCGCATGAACACGGCCTACACCTTCCAGCTCATACCATGATAGGTTCAAGTCTGTGATCCAGTCATCTGCATCAAATGGGCTTGTCCCCCTGAAGGCCACCATTATTAGGTCCGGATCAACTTTCTTGTCTTGGAACATGATGACCTGAGTTGAATGTTGTTCTTCGTATTCTGCATGACATAAATTTGATTACTCAACTGAAAATTTGAATTACAACCATTCTATCATCAAACCGATTCTTTTATACCTTTTAAAACTTTTTTTTTTTGTATGCATTTAACTTTTATAAGATGAGTATTAAAAGCCACAAAAAAGAAAAGTGTCTTCGATCTAGCAAGATCAAAATATTCATAACTCTTTTGCATCAGTGAAAAGGTTAATTCAGATGGATTTCATGATACTGATACATGTTTTTCATATTGACGATATAGATAGTAAATAGAGTAAATGGCTTAGACATGCTTAAAAAATATAAGATAGTCAACTCTCCTGGCAGAGGTTTGTATAAAATTATTTTCCTTATATCTATTATCTTTCTCAAAAGTTACACTTATTCTTAACAGTTGATTTAAGGTAGTGGAGCTTTGTCGAATTGTTTCAAGGAATATATACTCGGATGCAATTATGCTCTAATTAGTGTTACTGTCACCTAACATCTCCCGAAAGATCATGGGAACCAAGGTTTAACCAATACCACAGTGGCGTAAATTAATGGATGAGATCAACGGTCATGAGCAAGGAAATGGGCATGAAACAAAATAATATTATGGGGAATAATAATAATAATAATATAAGAGTACTCCCACTGACCATTCCAGAAGTTGAAGAATCCCAAAAATTCCATCTGAAACAAACAAAGAAATCCAGAAAAAAAAAAGAAAGAAAGAAGAAATTGGTTAATTATCATCATAGGACCATAATACTTCAATTTTTCAAAGGGAACACCTTAAAATCTCTATCTCCCACAAGAAAAAAAAAAAAAAATACTCCCGTACGTTCATCCCAAAAGGAAAAAAGAAAGTTGTAAGTTATTGTATTAATTCAATAAATATGATTGTTTTTGGGACGATAAAATATAGTATCTTAGGTTCGATATCACATGTTTCCCATAAATTTTTAAAAAGCATAATGTCCCGGAAAAGTTAGTGTAGTTTACCTGCCAGTGATCCTTCAGCACGGTAGACACGAAGGCTTCATTCTCATAGGCTAATTTAGCGGCCATTACTGACAACGCCGGACCGTACCACTCGTCGTTGACTCTAATATTCGCATCCAACTCCACCCGCTCGTCCAGGCTTCCGATCACTGATCTGAATTTCGCCGACGAACTGTCCGGCTTCACCACATTTCCTACAAAGGTGTACGGCACAGCCTAAATCATCAGCCATCTGGCTTCTTATATTTTCAAAAGCAATACTAACAAATTCATATTTTAACATGGATCGTGAAACAATATAATTACAACATGTTCCTTTTGGTCCTAATATTAAGAGATAAATTAACACTAGAATCAGTTCAAATATACGTGCCTTATAAATAGGAATCGGAGGAGGTACTTTATCTTTTGATTGTTTGACCCTAATTAGTAATAGTATTTATAATAAGTTAGCGGATAATCACCTAAAAGCATCGTAACTTGCATGCATGCATGAAGAAAATAATTCCGAATTCAACGGACATGCATGAAGATGAAAGAAGAAGAAAAAATCAAACCTGTGAAAATGTTCCAAAAAAGATGAACATAGCCGCCATTGAATGAGGGATAATTCATCAGGTTCTCCACGCTGGATCCGGTTGCCGTCAAGAGATTTCTCAACCGGAGCAACACCTTCTGGCCGACGATGGAAACAAAGACGAGCCATCGATCGTGAAGCCCGGACAGCCGGTCTTCAATAGGAGTATCGAAGAAATCCCGTTTCTCGAGATCGGACGAATAAAAGATCCGAAGAAGATCCAAATAACCCGCTTCGGTTGGATGCAACTCCAAATAATCTGTGAACAAGTTTTGTGAAGAAGCCATATTTAACTCAGAAGGAATGTTGTGATGATGATGCATGGTTTAGGGTTTGTTCTGGTGTTACGCCAAAAAATCTAAATGCTTGAAGAATTTGAAGTTAATGAAATTAACATTCTTACGTACTATTATTTATACTGATTAAAATTGCTGCCAAGAACACATATTTGGAACGTTTTTTGGTCCTGGTTCGAACTTCGAAATGATCTACGGCCTAAGCGACTAGCTATTATTACTGTTTGAAAAACGTGATAAATAAATTTCATAATTCGTGTGTTAGACTATCTTGACGTTGATTTTCGTAATTTTGATGTCATTTCCTTTTTGGTCGTATCTAACTTACACTTATCAAATTTTTATTACTCGACAAACATAATTTAGAAGTAAGACGTATTAGACAAATAACTAAAATACTAACTTACAAAAGAAGGATATGAATTATGAAATCACCATTACGCTATGGTGATCTACCGTTCTACTTCAAACGGCGGCTCGCTAACTAATTGTTTTTTTATGAAAAAAATTACGACATTATATTCAGCAACATATTTATATTTTGCTGGTGCACGTGTAAAGAGACTTGTAATTTTCCACTACTACGATATATTGACTGGGCGGCAATATAGAATTTCAAAATCCAGCCTGGAATTACATTTCTTTCGTTGACGTAAATGTTGACCGAATTTTTGTCACACTTGCATAACAAATTCACTTGTAACTTGTAAGGAAAGCCAATAACATCCGTACGACTGTAACCCCAGAGATAGTGGACTATTTGACGTCAGCCGTGAACTAATTAAGCGAGGCCCAAAGTTTTGACTGGACTCTATCCATTTCATTCTGGCCCAACAAAAAATGAACAAAATAATTTTTTAGAGAAGCATGGACCAGCAATTGAATACTAGTAGTATTTTTCTTGTCTCAATGTAATTAATAAAGGCTATGATATATGATAGTAGTAAATAAATAAAAAGAAAATAAGGAGAAAAGAAAGAAGAAAAAATGCTAAACGTAAAAACATCATGTTGACAAAGTTGTGACAATTGATTGTAATGGAATACGTCCCTTCTAGCACAAAAGACGAACTGACCAAAATAAGAAAAAAAAAGTATTAATAATTGAATTATAGGCCAATAAACTTCTGTTGTCATTTTCTCTAATTTGAAAGAGGACCCCAGAAATCCCAATCCAATCAATCAAATGTATATCAACCAACCAACTTATTAGTTTGTTTTTTCGTTGTATGAGATTCAATTAATTATTTAATACTCACATTTTAATTTGTACGAAAAAGAGGATCGCATAGCGATAAGACTTCTTTTCAAATTTCATTTTAAGCAAATGTTATGACATCTGTTGGGGTAATGCTCCAAAAATGCTAAATCAATGAACAAATATAATATTTGAGTCGTGTACATTGCACTGTCCTAAAGAAATTATTTCGGTGTAACGAAATGTTCTCCCAAGATAAAACAAGCTTTACTTTTTTAAGTTTAGAGGGCATAGGAACTAACATATATATAGATCCAATATTTAAGTAAGATTGAAAGTAGAAAAGAAAGACTTTAGAGAAAACTAGCTTGGGGGACTTTTGGAATTTTAGAAAAGTGAGAAAGAAATGTTTTTTTTTTTTTTTTTTTTTTTGGTGTGTCTAGATGAAGCTTTACTACATAGTATTTATAGGACAAATCTAAGGATGCAACCTTAGTTTTGCTGTAAGCATTAACTTCACCCAAAGATGACACTTCAAATTAAGTTCTTTTAAGACACCGGTTTTGAAAACAACAAATCTCATCAGCTTAGACTTTAGAATCACAAATCAAAGTATTAGTTTAATACTTAGGATAAGCTTTTAAGGGTTAATAAACTCAACAAGACTTAATGCAACAAATCTAATCTTTTGAAATAAATAAAGTGAAAACGCCAACATCATAAAAATGATATATCGCAGATAATTAGAAATTGTTTGTACTTGTTTTGACATATATTTGATGGAACGATTAATTTGCATCGGGAGAGAGTCATCATGTTTGCTAACTATGAATGTGTTACTCCAAATAACATGAAAACTGTTTAAAGCTCGACTTAATTACAACCTTGTTAGCAGGCTTAATTGGATTACATTCCCATTGAGTTACACCTTTGAATGTCCCCATTTCCAAATAGAAGACAACCCGTCAATCCCTTGAATTAATTGTGAATTCGCATAAATTATAAATCGGGAGTATTTATATCATCTATGTTCTTTTTTCTTTTTTTGGTGAATGTATTCGCATTGCGAAGAGTAACCAATACCCTTATCAAGATATAATACCGTGATTAGATCACGATGTTATAGGGATTTCATATTTTCACAATGATTTAAACTATTTTAGGCATTAGTCTCATTTCTTGTAAAAAAAAAAAAGATATATTACAAATCAAGTAATGTCTCTTTGTTCACATATCTATCACGTGATATGACTTCAAGTTAATTGAGGCAAGCATTAAAAAAATTGGAAAACTTCCAAACCCATTTTTTAAAAAAAAAGACATAAGTTTTGCCCTAGATTTTCAAAGGTATTACACGTATACAATAAAAAAAATAAAAGAGTATATATGTATCGATGATCTAAATAAATGAAATCATGGAGTGTGAGGACGAATACAGTGAACTTGGAAAAGGGACATATTCAGGTCCATGCCCTATTTCCAAAGGACAAGATCGGTCATGGAAAACATCCTCAAAGAAATATACAACAAATACGCAAATTACAAAAGAGAAGATAGAAAGTAAAAGAGGGGGTGTTGTTTGGAATATGTTTAACAAGTTAGTGGACGTCCCACATGGGGAGAGTGTTCCTCAAATTGGTTTGACCGGTACTTCTGTATTTTGTATCCTTATATTTCTTCGTTTAGATTCATTCCATTTCCAAAGCTTATATAAATAATAATAGAAGTTTGAATAATGCTCCTTAGATTTGATTGGATATTGGATAAGGGATTGTGGGAATAAAAATGGCTTTTAGTGAAGCATGATCCTTGAGACACCAACACTCCTCTTTCCCGATCCTGCCATGGGAGGCAACCTATACCCCGGCTACCCGGCCCCTTCTCCAATTTTTTCCGGTATATTACGTACTCGATGTTCTTATTTTTATTTATTTATACATACATTATTGCTAATTACTTGTCAACTTATGTTTAACATCTTTTAGTCCACTACACCAAGCCTTCTGCGCCAAAAGGAGTTATAGAAAATGTTAATAATAACGTGCATTTTGTTTAACAAAGTATGCTACTAGTATAAATAAGATAATAATTTATGATATGATAAATTAAAATTGTGGCAGTCAGCAGATAACCTGAAAGGTGAACAGATGATAAAGAATATATGTAAGGGAATCGAGTCAATGATGCCACTAACATGTATCTTTAATTTAAAAAATTTAAGGGAATCAATTTTTCTCTCTGTTTTGAGTTCTTAACGTCTCTGGTTACTAAGAAATGGTAACACTGTTAATTGATTAACCCTAAAATTTACAAATGGGGTATGTAAACTCGGGCATGTTAAAAATAATTATCAATAGTAGAGTTGAAATCTATTTTAGTGATAGAGATTTATTTTAGTGATAATTTCTAGTGAAAATGTATTAATTATTAAGAGTAGTTTTTATCACTAAAGTTGTTTTTATCCAATAGTATAGACATGGCCATAAATATATTATGTACCTTTATTTTGTATTTTAAGTCAATAACAATGTAGTTTTCAAATATTATTCTCATTCTTCTCTCTTTTAGTTGTTTTCTTTACATTCTAGTTTTTTTCTTGGTATCAGAGTAAGTTCTTTCCTACTTCTGTTATTATTTTTCTTCAAAAATAAATTATGATTTCATACTTCCACTTTTCATTTTTTTGTTTTGTCATCTTCAAAAGAAAAAAACATTATCCTGATTTCATAATCATGTTCATTCATGGATATTGAGTATATTTGTATGCGTAAATTTCAAATTCATTCCAAATTCATGTCTTGCCTTCCTTCTCTACTGTTAATCCAATACTTTCTCCTAAAATATTCACATACTATTGATTCAATACTTTCTCCAAAAAATATCCACATTATTCAAAAGAATCTATCACATATTAATCCCATCAAAATCACAATTTTTATCTCCATTAACCATCATTTTTATTTATTTATTTTTTCACAAATCAACTTCAGTTGATCCACAAGTTTCTCTTTCTCATAAAGAGGAAAGACACCAATGAGTCATTCCACAAAAATTTTCATTATGACAAAAGTCTCATCATTCTCTCATAAGAAGAGTTTTGATTTGTCATACAAAATCTAACAATCTACAAAAATTCTCATTATGAAAAACGTATAATCTTCTCTCAAAAGAAAGATTTTGAGTTGTCATACTACAATCTAACAACACAACAAAACTTTCGAGCATGTTGTCTAAGACATGACCAGAATCACTCAAGGCTGAGAATCGATCTACAAGTTTTTCACTGCTGCGGTTCTTAATGATTTGGGAAAGTCGTCAACACAATCAAAGCAAACTGAGCACTGACTCAGTTTGAGGGAGGATGTTAAAGATAATTATCAATAGTAGAGTTGGAATCTATTTTAGTGATAGAGATTTATTTTAGTGATAATTTCTAGTGAAAATATATTAATGTAGTATTCAAATATTATTTTCATTCTCTCTCTTTTAGTTGTTTTCTTTAAATTCAAGTTTCCTTGTGGGCATGTGTCATGATATTTAACTTGGGCATGTGTTATGATATTTAACTAGTGTCATAGGATGTCTATTGTACAGCACAAAAATTCTCAGAAATCTGATCCGTAAACTAATTTATGGTAATATTATTTAAATTTTTTTTATATCCAACTTAGTACGCGCATAATTCCAGCAATGACTACATGTCATCCATTTGAGTACATATATGTGATGCAAGATTGACATAAATTCGAAAAAGTGTATATTATTAATCTTATAATCCGTAGACGTTAAATCTGTTTCCTCTAGGTTGAATGTAAATCATTTTTCTGGATCCTCATTATGGTGGATCGATCAAATGATGATATTTTGTTCCAGTAAAATTCTTGATGATCTCATGCTGCCGTCAAATCCAAAGGCAAAAAGTTCAACAAGTAAAGAAGGGTAGAGTAAACCAGAAAAAAAAAAAAAACATAGGTCAGAAGCGACCGCTAGCTAGCTGGATCATGGTACTAGTCAGTAGCCAGGTACGAGCGCATATCGTATGTACCTACGTAACAGCAGCATCATCGATCTCATTCAAGTGACGAAATATATAAATTTTGTTTCCTCCCAAAATTTAAACTTTCCGAACGTCGAAAAAGTATAAAATTAATTTGCATGCATATAAATAAGGAAAATAGCACACCTAGAGAGAAAAATGAGCAGTGATATGGGATAATAATTTATCTGGCATGTGTGTATTTACTTCACGATTTCTTATTATATTGATAGTTAAAAATTTAATAAGACCACGTTATTCTGTCTTTTTACGAGTTACTATCCCGTTTTACTGTATATATTAGAGTGACATGGATAGGCAAATGGGATGGGGGAATGAAGACGTGGATGGTGTTTCACGTGTGTAAGCCAAGCCAAAACCACGACATCAAATAGTGAAGAAGATCACCGCCGAGTTGTGTCAGCAGTTCACGTGGATTTCTCATGCATTCGATGACAAATTCTCCATTAAGTACTCCACCTCCAATGAAGCCTCTCTCTTACACAATATTGTTTCGTTAATTGCAGCATGTCTTTTTTCTTCCAAAGAAGAAGGCTTGAAGCCAATCATTCAAGTGCAATTTAGAATATTGTGGAGCTAAAGCGATTCCTTCGGCTCCTTGAAACCCCGAAAATAGCTTTTAATCCAATCTAAGGCAGTTTGGCAACATGGTTTGCTTAGATCTCTATGTATCTGTTACACCTTGCTATGGTGTCTTGATTACTGAAAATCTCATTCTGACAAAATGTCAACTTCCGATGTACATTATATATATTGGGGCCAATTCATTCTCCATCTAGAACCTGGACAAGGGTTTTCATCATCCTATGTACGTATTTGGCAGTCATTGTCGTTTTGTTTTCTTCTTTTTTCTTTTATTATTATTTTTTTTTGGGGGCCATGATAAGGGGGAAAAATAATATGTAATTTGCTTCTACTACATCTTTCCAGTTTGTCAACAACTGAAGAACGTCTGTATACGTGAAATATTTCAATATTTATTCTTGCGGGGAATTAGCATAAATTATGACTTGGAGGATTTAAAATACACTTTGTACAAAAATAAAAACTTGTATTCTCTTTTATCATAAAAATAGTTTATTTTGTAAATTATAAATTACATTATTTATGAATAATGCGGTATGTCAATCACAGACACAAGGATTAATTAAAATGGTTGATTCTGGTAATTATCTAAAATGTATCTTAAAATGGATAGATAAATGTGTAGTTTGCAACTGAAAATCAAGGTTTTCCTTTTGGATATCGTTTCAGAATCGGTTCAGAAAAGAGAAGCACTTGATAATAAGATATGGAACAATGATTACTCTAGCTAACACACTTTATCAAAAGTAGGAAGCAGTGGAGAATCTGCACAACGTATTCCTTACGTCCTCGTATCCTACTTGCCAATAATGGAATGCTTATAATTCCCTGTACAACAACAATTTGGTACCCCCAATCATTTTGATTTCTTTAATCAAAACAAGTTGTTGCCTAAAAGCAAGAATAGGGAATATCAAATTAATTAACTTGTACACTCTCTCTTTTTTTTTTTTTAATATATCTAGAATCAAAATAAATCCTACATATTCCAATATTTCCCTTCATATTGTTATCATTGTGGAATCCATTGAATTGAAAAAAAAAAAAAAGATATCACACTAATTAAACTCTTGTATCACAAGATTAATCCTTCTCTTCTCTAGCTGCAATAAGAATCAAAAGGAAAGAGCGAACGATAAACTATGGTATTTATGGCGGTCTTTGTTCGGACTGTGATCCATTCTCCATAAGCATTGGGGTACATTTGATTTTGCAACAGATGACCTGATTTTACTAGTGACAGCTAGTTTCAAAAATTTGACAGAATTATCAAATCGCGATCAGAATACAACGTAATAGATATTTTTCATCCTCACGGCATTTAACTTGATTCATTAAGTTATTATAATTCACATTCTTAATAAGTTACAAAATCTCTTTCATGAGTCAAAATTCTCTCAACCCATCTTCACTCAAAAAAAATCCTTCATACCATAAACTCATCCCTTTTAGTTGGGTCAATTTGGAGATCAAAAGGGTCCTACAGGTAGGCGGTCTAAGAAGCATGTGCGGGTATTTTGTTGACCTTGGGAGGGTGTTAATTCCCCAACCAAAGTCCCACCATCAATTTTGGCAGTCTTAGTTAGCCCATTGGTCCCAATTTCAATCCCTCCCCTAAGTTTTTCTCTTCTCTGTATAGTGTGTACTCTCTCTCAGCCGGCAACCCTTTCCCCCCACAATCTTACACAATAAAAACAATGGATCCCAAAAGTCCCCAATATTATATTCCAGCCCCTCTCATTAAACCCGGAGGAAAGATACAAACATAAAAGAAGCCTCTAGTACATTTATGCATCGTTTTCTCTCTCATTTCCAAAAGATATTTTCTCATCCTCAGCTAGTAAACACCCAAAAGAATATTTACCTGAATCGAATAGAGATTAATGTTTATATTCTCGATATTACTAGTCGACCATTAGCTAGCCAGCGGTCAGCCGTCACTGCTATTTCAAAACTACTCAATCACAGCATTCAGCATTGAATTTAGTAAAACATAATAAACTTGTACAATTTGGTCATATCAGAATCCTAGGAAGCTGTCTTTGGATTATTTAAAACATGCTAAATAATTTATGCTACAATTCCCTAAGATGCGAATAAAGAAAGAGGCATTCAGGCAGAGAATCAGAGTTTTTTTAAAAAAAACAACAACAAATGGCATTTTATATACCATTAATTTGGGAGGATTAATTTTATTAATATTCATGTTTTTCAGTAAATAGTACACCATCATAATCATGCATGGGCAAATTGTAAGCTCATTCGACTCAATCGAATTGCCGCATCACATTAATAAATAAAACTAAATTAACTCAGTAACCTCTTTCTTCTCCCTTCCTTCTTTCTTCTTCATCTCTTTTAATTTAATCTTTACAACCCCATAATTCTCCAATTCCCAAATTACTAAGGAAAAAAAAAAAACCCACATGAAAAATTATACACTAAGGAAGTTATTAGCAAAAACATTAAGTTAAATTAAGCATCTGCATATTGCTGGACATTATGATGATGAAACGGTGTCCCTTTCGTTGGCATGGCCGGTAAGTAGCTACCGTTACCGCTCGACATCGGCACCGGAAAACCAATCCCGGCAGGCCGGTTGGCGGCGGCCCGTTCGAGGGACTGAACTTGATTCTTCAAGAATTTCACGTAATGAATGGCTTCGTCGAGCATGGAAGCTGTGTCCATTTTAGTCCCGCCGGGAACCAGTCTCTGGAGGATCCGAATCCGTTCGCTTATCCTTTCCCTCCGGTGCCGCGCCGCCACGCTCTGAGGATCTTTCGATATCTTCACGTTCCTCCTCTTCGGCGGCTTCACGGATTCGGGATCAATGTGAATCGGCTGCATTGCCGCAATCCTGAATATCATTTCCCTCATCGCCGCCACCGAACTCCGCTTCTGGGATTCCGACACAAATGCCCCTCCGCCGCCAGCCGCCGCCACATCCCCGCCGCTTCTCCACCTTGCGGAATTACTACTCCCTCCCGGAAAGGGCAACCCAGAAGGGTCTTGAAAACCGGAATTCGAGAAGGAAGCGTTTGATGGGAAGTTGATGAACGGCGGGGAAGAGGAAGAAGGATTATCTCCGAAACCGGTGGCGGCGGCGGCAGCGGAGGAGGAGGAGGAGGCATTATTAGTAACGTTGGTGAAATCGAACATGGGCAACTCATGTATGTCGGCGAAAGAGCCGGTGAGTTCAGACAGCTTGTCCATCTGCATCATAAGCATCATGTCCATCTGGTCTTCAGATGGAGAAGATTTCATCAGTTCATGAATATCCATTTTTTCTTTTTTTTCCAAATTGGGAAAGAAAGAAAAAACTCCCAATCCCTCAATTTATATATACTGATTGAACTAATGGGAAAAAGAGGAAAAAAAAGAAGTGGGGTTTTTCTCAAAAGCTGATAGGCTATAGCTTACTGGTTTGCAGAGGGATGGGTAAGGGGGAAAGAGGATGATGAAGAGTGAGTACTGTGTGAGTGTGTGTTAAGACTGGGAGTTTTATCAGAATGTGCAGTAAATTGAAGCAAAAGAAGAAAAACCACAAATGCAAGAATGCTTCTTTGTATTAGGTTTGCTCAATAGAAAGAAAGGGGAGGAGGGGGGAATATAATAGTGATATTGGGAATTACAGATTTTATCAATCTAGTGGGGGGGAATGCTATATATAGCAAAGTGGGTTCAGTTTTTTTATTGTCAATTTGTTCATAAATTTCTTTTGTTTTTTAATGTTGTCACAATTTTGTATCTGCCTTCATAATTTTGTGCTAATATAGTTTATTGTATTTTTCTCTTTTCATTTCACACACTGTCATAAAGTTGGTGAACTTTTTTCTCTGTTTTGTTTATTCTTTAAATTTTTGTTGTTATCAATTTAAATTTTTTTTCCGTCTTTATATTTATTTGTCTCATGGCATGGACGCATTCATTGACACAAGAGGTCAAAATTCATGAATTTTTTAGTATTCTCCCCCTAAAGTGTTTCAATCTATTATTTTGATAATCTCTTTTAATGTGTTTCAATAAATACATTCTTCACTCCTTTATATTCAACAAAAATTTAAGTTTAAATTCCTTATGAATGTATGTAAGTTAGAGGTGTAATCTTGTCGAAAACTTCAGCCAAGGAACCTAATAATAGTAATAATTTTGTAAACTGAGACAACAGAATAATTATTATTATCAGAATGGTTCAACAAAGTAGATTATAAATACCTTGCAAGGAGGATGAAGTCGCTACCTAATTAACAAATTTTAACCCTCATGCATTGGATGATGCATGAACGAATTATAGATTTGAAATAAGGGTAATAATAGCATAGTTCTGCTTTTTTTCTTCTTTTCTTTTTGTTGAATGTATGTTGTTTGAGTGGAATAACATTTACTTTGGCTTAACATTTACTACTTTCTGGTTTATATTAGTATATATATATATATTCTAAAAAAAGAAGAGAGACCTTAACCTAATAAACCCCACTCACATGACATGCGTCAGAATAAGGGTCTCAAAGTCTCATCAAGCAGTCCACTTTAAATGACTCCGGCGGCCGGTCATAAGATTCCGGTGGTGCCGGCAAATGACGGTGATTGATGATCAGATTGATCTACCATTTTTTTTTTTTTGTTTGATTGATTGATGATCGCACGGTGGAGGGGCCGGGAGGGAATTATTAGGATCATAGGATCAAAAAAATTATCCCCAAGTGCCTGCAGCTGCTACAGCGTAAAAAGAAATGGCCCCGCTCCCCCCTTCAACCTTGGGAACGTTTCTCGAGGTGGATCAGGTTCCTCTCTGCACCAACTGTTTCATGTGCTGGCTTTCTCCTCCCAACCAACTTACCAGCGGTAAACTTTCTTCTTCCCCTTCCTCCCATGGGATGGGACTAATCATTTTGTCTAAGAAGAAAATAGTCCGCTCCGTTAAACTAAAATAGTATAACAAAAGCCAATTATTTTTTGGTGAATGTCACGGTCATTTTGTTCTGGAAAAAAATTACGATTAGCAATATGTTTTTTTTTTTTTACTTATATTGACATTAAATTATGAGCCGGAATATTATAATATGATAGGAATCAAGAAGGTAATGTAACAACTGTGATTTAAGAGTTTATATCAGGAATCGAGCATAATTTTTAAAGTTTTCGGGGAATTTATGATAATAATTATCAACTATAGAATCATGCAATAAGTACAATCAGAGACACGTAACCAATCACTCGTGCAAAGACGACAGTCACCTTACGATTGTATAGTTGATCCAACCTAATGTCATCAAAGTTTAATCATTTTTGACCAGTAAATCATTGTTCTTTTGTGTGGTTTTTTGGTTTCGCACAAAATTGTAATTTATGTATACAAGGATGATTTAGATCAGTTACATGGCATGCCGCAAATACCTAGCTAGGTTGATGATAAAATTGTAATGGCGCAAATATGTCCTTTTGCAAAATGAAATCAATATTCGTCCAAAATTCATCATGAAATTGGGCATTGGACATAATTTTTAAAGACCCAATCATCCAAAAATGTCATGTGAACATTTCGTATATAAGTTTACCTTACAGTCGATTCAATAATATACAGATGAATGACATAAATATGTCATGGATCAATGTGTAAGTCAAGATTGGACTGGGAAATCAGACCATGTAAAAATGTATGTATTGACGGGGACATGTAACGGGTACATATAGGGAAAATGTCATGCTAAAATTAAAATCGAAGAACCTTTAGGTCGTAAGAAACGACAAGGGGATGATTGTACTAAAAGACAACAACATCAACGTTGTATTAATTGTCTGACCATCGACCAACTATATGTGTATTTATATATATATAATTTCGTATACATAAATTCGGTCCATTTAATTTTCAAGACTGACTCGGTTTGGCTAGCTAGCTAGAGGCTACAGAGAGCATGCAAATCTTGATTTTCTACCGTAAAATGTCATAAAAACTACAGTTAGGTTTTCACGAAGTTTTTGCATGCACGTAACGTTAAGACTTGCACGTAAAACTTCATTACGAATTCCTGAAAAATGTGACTCATATGTGCCGACCCTCTCTCTGCATATATGTGCTCATTCTGTAAGAAATTAACAACCAACTGAATGAAAAATGATAAAATAAGGGGTTTTAAATTTTCGTTAAAGTAAATAACTACTGTAAAATATGACCTACTAAAATAATTATGCTTTCTCCATCCAAAAAAAAATTAAATTAACAAATACAAATGTACAAACCTAGATAAGATTCAATTTTCTTCCTTTAGGTGCTTTGCAATGTTATTTCAAGAGGCTGTTTGGTTCTGCCTTGTGGATGGATATACTATATACAAGTATTGTGGTACCGCGGGTTTCCTTTACATAATATCTGTAATATGATTAGGGTTTGCTGTTGATTGACATTTTCAATCACCAATTTCAACTACTACTGCAATTATTTGGCTATCACAATCAATTAAATAAAGCTTACTGATCTGACCAAAAAATTTTAAAAAAAAAAAAAAAAAGTTGAAGGAATAGTGGTTGAAGCTTTAAAAACCAACAGCCGGTTTTTCCCCTTTATTGTGCCAATTTATCAAAGCCAGTTGTATTTTGCAGAGATAGTAAGGGAGAAAATGACACGATGGTGATAAAAAAAGGATAACCCAACGAAAAAAAATGATAAGAAACATGTGTTGTTTTTGTGTGTGGCGATTCATCAGCAACCTAGCTTTCATTTCAGCAGGACGAATCCATAAAAAAAACATGCATGAAACTATAAACACCAAATTTTCCTTCTAAATTGAAATGAGTTTAACTATGAAATGAAAGATAGTGGGTTAGTTTAACTATGAAATGAGTTTTGAATTTGGGCATGGCATTTTAAATCGATGCAGAAAAAATTGAGAACGTTTTGTCTCACAAGAAAAAGTTATTAAGTTCGAATCTAAATTAGTTAAGACGAGCAGTTTCGACGAACGGTGGATGATAGAAAAATGACACACACTGAATTAATTAACTCAACCAGTTCTGCCAATTGTATGGCAATTCAACTAGTTTGTGTAGTGTAAATATAGAGCATTGACCACTCTGCTAGGTTATCTCATCTCTTTCACTTTTTCCAGAAAAATTAGAATGGGAAAAAAAATGGTGATGGATGAATAAAATAGTGAATTATATCAACAAAGGACATGAATAAAGCGACATGTTCTCTGCAAGAAGATGTTCGGATTGGATAAAAAGAATCCAGAAGGGAGAGATTTTGTTGTTTGTTGGAGCTTTGTTTTTATTTTTTTATTTTTTTACACCGCATTATCACGGTTGCATTGCACCACCTTATCTTCTCTCCCCCACATCCCATTTTTATACATTACCCCTAAGCATTTATTATATACTACCTCTCCTGTAGCTTTTAACCAATTGTTTTTTTTTTTTTTATACCACCGTTATCTCTCTATTTTCATCATATCCAAAAGGAAAAGGGGGGGGAAAAAAAAAGGAAGAAAGAAGAAAGAGGAAAGCAATCGCACATATAATTTTCTCCTTTGAACTAGGGCATAGTGCTAGTAATTTTGATTAGTGCCATCAAAGGGTTCAATTTGGTAAGTAACAATGTGATCTAAAATACAATTAGAAGAGACTATATCAAAGTGAGAGGTGAAAGTTTGAGTAAAGAAGGATTCGATCAAATGAGATTTTGTCTAGCGTTTTTGTGTATTTGTAAGTCCGTATGTAACAGTTAAATTTTTTATTTGACGAACTGTTAACTTAAACGAACTATTAAATAGATTAAAAAAATACAGTAACACACTAAATCACAAAATGTGAAACAATAATCGGTGCCCTAATGGAAGAAAAAAGAGGAAAAAACTAAAGCAAACCTTATTTCGTGGGTAACTATTTAACAAATCTAATAATATTTGATCCCTAATTTGCCTTTTATAACCCTTTCCATTGTCATCGGGAAATGCAGGTGGGCAGGAAGAGGGAGAGAAGTCAGGAGTTGAGAATATATCAAGTTATCAACAATTTGCTAGCCTATTAGAAATGAGGTAACAGGAGGACTACTGAAGTAAGTGGTCCAACTTTAATTTGTTTCTCTCTGAGCTCACACACAGTCACACAGTAGCACTATCTCTCTCTCTCTCTCTCTCTCTCTCTCTCTCTCTCTCTCTCACTCTCTTTCCCACATGATTTTCATCGCCTCAACTTGAATTCAGACATATAGCTTGGTTTTACTACAACTTGCAGAAACAAGGCAAGTTCAAAAGGGGTGATGCCACATTTACCAATTGTTGGGGCTTACACCCTTTTGTGTGTGCTCTCGTTTTCAACAAACGACACTTTTTATTGGAAAAAGCACTAGAAGAAAAACCAGGGCCAAAGATCTTTTTCCTTCTATAGTTTGATTGTGAATTTTACCCTATTCCTTTTGTTGGAAGTGTGGTTAAAAAGGGTTGACAGAAGAATCAGAGATTGCGCACAGAGAAACTCTGTTCTGGTCCTTTCCCAAAGTCTTTGGACAAACTGAAGAACAACTCATTGTTTCATTTTAACGTCACTATGGATCTAGTTGAAGGCTACTGAATGATGTTGGAAAATAAAAGTTGCCTGACTTCTTTAATGATAACTTCAACTGGCCACACGGACTTGGAAACGTGACCATCGTCCTTTATCTCAGCAGTTGCAGTAGCAAATTGCATCAGAAATTTTCTTTTCCCACGATTCCTTGTTTAATAATTACAATTCCATCTCTATCAAAGAAGTATCGAGTTGCTTTAGCCAACTTTCACTCTCTCATTTCAGACTCAATACATGCGAAAAGAACATAATTCTCCCAATGCTCACTGCATCCCCATGAAAATAGAGTTGTTTCTTAAACTATGGAGAATTTTTTAGTCTATGACATTCGGGGCGTACCAGTAAATATGTAACAATGGCTGAGCTGAGAAGATATTCACCTATCAAAACTGCGTGATAAAAGTTGCTTTAAAGAGTCTAGAAAGTGGATAAACAGACCTAATTAATATAAAACAGTGAAACTTGTCAATAAAAGGGAATTTGTCGCTAACAGAACGTGATATCTAACAGGGCCAAACCTTGGGATCGACTCAGGTTCATTTCCTTCCATTTGCACCGCTTTCATGTAGATCCTTCCATTATCTCAGATACATAGAGTCCATATAGATCATCGAACTTTCTCTTCCATTGCTGATTCATTTGCTGGGTTTCTTTAAGCTCCAGTTTCACCCTTTCCGTTTCCATTCCATTAGCAGCAGAAGAACCTTGTTGCTGAAAGAGACAAGGACTGTCAGATACTTTGAATGGATTCAGTCTATAATATAAGTTTCTATCAATCTTAAAATTTACATCATGAGGTGTCCATGAAACATAGGACCAGATACATCATCTGTTTCCGTAACAAAAAAAGTTGCATAGTACAATACAGAACCATCTCAGAAATTCAGATTTCTCATAATATTAAGGCTTCAAAGCAAAATTAAAATACAGTCTAAGCTGGAAAATAAGGTACAAACATGCCTGCCCAACATTTCATCCCCTTAAAGTAAGGTGAAACTGCAAAGGAAATGTCACAAACTTAAGTCAAACAGCCAATTTCACAAGCTCATGGGTGCATATATCAAATAGGAAAACAAGTTTCAGTGCTTCATGAAGAACTACCCGCGAATAGTTTAAACTACATTAAAAAAGCAAAATAAAGAACATATCTGAAGGACATATCAAAAAAAAAAAAAAAACACCAACAAAAATATAGACAAACTAAATGCCGGCAAATATGGACCTGGAGTTCTTTTATCTGCTTCTGCAGTAGTGTCTGAACACAAATGTTGGAATAATCAGTATGATCATCGGATTTGAGAGATGCCTTGACATTTTCATGAGGAGAATCAGAACTCATTTTTAATGGTTTTAATTCATGTCTCCTCGATGAGACAGCTTGAGAAGTCACCGACGTCCTTGGGAGTGGCTGACTAATGACAAGAACATTACTGACTGGGCCTGGAGAGGAAACTGAACAGGAAAAAATCCAGTCAAGAGCTCGAAAGGACAAATTTAAAGATCGAAAGCACGATATTTCAGCCCAAATTGAAACAGAAGCATTTCAAAACATTTGAGTGCACCATTAGTGAACCAGATATCTTCAGATATATGATGACAATCAGCAAGCTTACTACCAAGAACTTTTAATGCCTTCAGAGATTTGTAGCAACAATATAGTCACATATATCAAGAAGAGGATGTAATTGCCTATTACCTATTTACACACGCGCATAAAATATAAATAAAAATAAAAAAGAACTCAGAACTTCAAACTTCATTTTACAATCTCCCAATTTTCCTGAGTAGTATGGCTTCCAATATTCCATCTCTCCTAAAAATAATGGCACTCTTGTGCCTTCTTGCCGTTGCTTTGGCCGACACGGGATTTGTCGACGTCGATCCAAAGACGCAGCTCGTGAATTCGCTTGGAAGCGCCTCGGTTAACTTACACAACAGCCAAGCACACACCAATTTAGAGTTTGAGACTGCGTTGAAGGCACGGTATAAAGGTACTTCCGCCGCGACGATTGTTTGGGAGTTTACAATTCAGGCCAAAGATGCGGGTCGGAGCCATCGCTACCGGGCCACTTTCGAAGCTGATTTTCAACAAAGCGGAAAGCCTTTGTCCTTTACCCAAATAGACTAAATTACAGAGTATTTAATGTAGCGATTTCGTTTGATTATATGTATCAAACGTTGTTATGAAATGATGTTTTAAGAGACTTATTAGCGTCGTCAAGGTTAAGGTTAAAAAAGAAAAAGAAAAGAACTCAGAACTTCAAATTACTTTGGAGATTTAAAGCACTTGGACAGTCACCATACAATAAGCATAACAAAGGGCGTACTTTCCACAGTAAAAGTTTTTCGATCAAACCCCCTATTTTATTCTGTTCCGTATTCCCATCATCATTACGGGCACATAAGTAGTTAACAGTAATGAGAAAGGATAAATATTAGGAACCACAATAACTGAAGAATGGCTTAGATATCCGAATTATGCTGTCTAGATTGTACCAAACAAGAAAATACAAGCATTTCTTATACAATGTGCAAATCTATTGCTCCCAGATTAATACATAATGAAATGAAATGAAAAACTCATGTGGATTAGACAAGGTAGGAATAGCAGTAGTAGAAAACTTTCTGAAGTGAGGTGACAACCTAATTATATCCATATAACTTACCTTTTGCATCATGTCGAAAGACCCGAATAATATGAAGGGTTTTAGTGTCCCAAACTCGAACCATCCCATCCTCTGATCCAGATATTAATAGACGTCCATCCAAACTTAATTTTAAGCAGGTTATAGCTTTACTGTTCCAATAGAGAAGTAAATATTTTCAGTATTCTATGGTAAAAGAAAGAGAAAATAGGAAACAAGCCATAAATATGTAGAATTGTTAAAAAGACCCAAAACGAATATCTCCAGACTTAGATACTTTAAGAGGTTTATCTAATAACTGCTAAAAATTATAAGATCATCTAAATGTTCCAAATGAAAAATGGATCATTTCAAAATTTAAAACAAATACAAAGAAGATATCATTGAGTTTTCAAAGAAGTTTTTAGAGATATATAAAGATCTGGTTCGTCATGTAAAATAATTCAAAATTCCAATAACAAAAGTTCTAACTTCAACCCGATTCCAGCGACTTGCAAGAAATTTTTTCCTTACAAGTCTCATATATTCACACATGTGTATCTTCATGACATGGAAACAGGAGAAAGTAAGAAATAATGAAAAACTTTAACAACCCAATAGCATCTCATTATGTTCAGGTTCCAATCCCTACAGTAAAGACGGTCAAATACCACAGATAAAGATAACATCCACAGGGTAAAAGAATAACCAACAAAACTTGTACCTATGTTCGCTTGAAGAACGAATGATATGTTCCCCGTAACTATGATGGAGCTTGACTTGAGCACTGAGTGCAGCCTCGTATATTTTACCATCCCTGCCACCAGCAAAGAACACATGCTCTACCGGGTCCAACGCGACTGCATCAATTATTGACGGGAATTTAACAGACCTTAGTAGCTTTCTTCCAGACAAGCTCCAAATCTAGGATAATCGATGTCAGACTCAGAATTTTATTTTTTTTAAATGTAATTATAAATGCAATGTATACAAACTAATCTAAAGAAAGAATTTGAGGAAAAATAACTGAATATAAATTCTGCACTAAAAAACAGAAAGGGCACAATTTCGGAATAAGCGAGAGTACTATACAAAGCCTTAATAGAACAAAGTTAAATAATAGATAACCTTGCAAGTATGATCCTCCGAAGATGACAGAATGACAGCATTGCATCCTCCATAACCAACCGCAATATCAGTAACTTTTAAACTGTGCTCAGAGAAACTATACTCATAAATGTACTTTGCTTGCTCCCTTTGCACCTCGTTAAAAATCCTAAAATCATATCCAGGATCATTCCTCAACCATTAGTGAATTACATGAAATAAATGAGACAATTCACAAGGACATGGTTCGATAGTTACATGAAAAGCGACCACACTCGAACTCCTCCTTCTTCCGACCCAGAAATCAAAAGAGACTTATCATCAGAGAACACTAAGCATGTTACAGCCCGGAGATGAGCATCCCACTTTGTTAGCAGATTACCAGTAGATACCTACATAAATTATGGGGGGAAAAAAAGAACTTGTATCAACATTACCAGAAAAGCATACGCATTTATTATACTATATATCCACAAATTCCAGCACTCAACGAGGATAGAGTGAAAAATATATGCAACAGATTCAATAGGTTACCTCCCATATATATATCTTTCCAGATTTACTTCCACCCACAATATAACCTGCCTCGCTGTGGGAAACAAGTGCAAGAATAGGTTCGAACAGAAAACTTTTCACTTCCGGCTCATGCTACAAGAACAAATCAAAACGAAAGTTCATTAAACAGAACAGTTTAGAGTCAAAATCCATGAAAACAATGGAGTTTATCTTCGTCTCTTTCTTAAATAATCTTTTCAGAGGTAATATATCGAACAACTTAAATCCATTACATACATGTAAGCATTAAGAACAAATTCACAAACAAATTGGCAAAGGGAAACTCTGGAAAGTACCTTATTCCATGTCCAGTAAAGGACGGAACCAGAAGATTTCTTCGCCTCACGAACATGAGTGGCAGCAATGACGCGATTTCCATCTGCAAAGTCGATGGAGGTGAGACCGTGGGCAGGGGTGGAAGAGGCGGAACGGAAATGGGCATGCTGCGCGGCTCCTGACCGAAGATCCCAGCAGCTGATTCCTGCGTTGATTGAAGCAAGCACCAACTCGGTCTCCATTGATTGAAGAATTCGGACAGTGATTAAACAAGCTTCAAATTTTCGCCACAGAAAGTGTGGCGCGCAACTGTCTGCGCACGCAATTCAGGAATGGTTGAAGTTGAACCCTTGGGCCGACACCATGGAGAACAATATGGTTTTAAATTTTGGGTGGGCTTGGGAGTTTTTGGGCTGACGGGGCAGCCTAACTTGTAAAATTTGGTTTTGGGTTTAGAAAAGAATATTAAATAATAATTTCCAATGACGTACGCTATTACATTTGGAGAGGTGAACACAGATTGATGCATTTTGCAGCTTATACGATAAAATAAACTCGAAATTAAATGCCTCTTACCCGGCGTAATTATTATTGTTATACTGTAAATCCCTTTGTTGTTCAAAAATTTAGAGTGCAAGTTGTTTCCAATGGAATACAGAACTTTGTTGTAAATTTAAGGAGTAAAATTAGACGATAATACTAAGGATAAAACAGGGCTTTTCGTAACCAATATGTTAAATGGTGTTACTCTTGGTTGAGGACTGCTTTCTTGTTACGAAAATATTTTGATTTGTTCTAAATTTTATTTATTATGTTTTTCTCTTTGAAAATAAAATTTTAAAAATATATTTTCGTATTCATTGTAGCCATTTTAAGATTTTATTTTCAGTTAGAAAAACAAATCAAATACTCCCTCTGTTCCAAAATTATTGTCCAGTTTGAAATTTCACTTTTAGTACAATTTAAACTAGAAATGAAAACTCAAACTGGACAAAAATTATGGGACGGAGGAAGTAAAACTTATGACAAATTAAAATGTCCAATAATAAAAACTGGAGGAAGTATGTCGTAAGTTTAGAGAACCCAAATGTGAATTAAGAAACATTATGAAATGGAAAAGAATATTCCAAGGATAACAAAGATAAAAAAAAAAAAAGTAAGTATATAAGGCTATCCATTATACTTAATTAAAATAACATATAAGAACGACACATGTCAGTCTCACGTTAATAATTTTCCCGCCAAAACTATTTTTCAGTACGAAATGAAAAATACCACGTGGTACGCTCAATGGCAGAAAAAATAATGATCTTTCTAAAAAAAAGTAGATAAATATTAAACAAAGAAGTACATGCGTATTATAACACAAATCAAGCGCAAAATCAGATAACTGCTCCTAAATTTACTTCCATCAATAACTCAAAGATTATATTTCAAAAAATTAGAAGATATCTCTTCCACTCCGCTCCCTTATGTTTACTCTCTCAGATTTGGGCTTTCGAAGTTTTTGAGTACTTGAAAAAATTTCTTTGGCAGTGGTTGCCGTTGACACAAGGTATTGACACGCATCATTGCTTGATTTGTTTCCACAGCAATATCGGATTGGAATCATGGAAATCAGACACTACAATTTTCTATTTCAAAGTGACAGCCTGTAGAGGAAGGTAAGACACTTTTTCTTTTTCCTTATTTATTCTATGCTGTTTAGAATACATTTGAATTATGATGTGGAAAATGCAAAACGGCTATGTTTAAGCATTTATAAATTAAAAAGGCACTTGAGAGGCCTTTGATTTTTTTTTTCCTTCATATATCAGGTTTTGAGTCTGATCATGTATGTGCATAATAACATCCCTCCATTGGTAAGGAAAACCATTGCTCTTCTTTTTTGTTGTTATTTGACTCGGAGTATATAGGAAGGGTCAGCAAGGAAAAATTGACATAGTTAGATCTCAGCAGTCCTTGAATTATTTTTGTTTTTTGATACCTTTTAGCAGTCCTTGAATTATTCATTTGACTTGGATGAGGTGGTTTTTCTCTAAGCCTGTGTTGTAACTCAATGCAGAGATATCTCATATAATCAAATCAGTAGTGATATTCGTTGCTTCATTGGTTTCTTATAAGACGCCACATTGTAGGTGATGTAAAGGTCTGCATACTGTCTTCGTAAGCTGTATTTGACTATTTGTTTGAAAAGCTCCTATTAAGCTTTGTTATTTAGTTGCGAAGGTGAGCTTTGGCACTAGCTTTACAATTTTTGTTTCTGTTTTGATACGTCTTTGCAGTAGATACTTGCATGGGAGCTGTAATTCAGGATAGTTGATTTTGTTGCTTGAGGGTTGAAGTGCATAAAAAGTCTATTGTTCCATGTTGGAGAAGAATTCGAGCTAAGTATTAAAAAAACCTTGAATTGATCTTATGATATTAGTACAGTCTGCTGAGCTTTGATGGCTACATGTAATAGGGATTGATGGCTACAGGTAATTTGATTAGAGCATGTAAATACTTAGCTTTGTAATTTAGTTAGAGCATATCACTGACAAGCCGTCGTCACAACTAGTCAAATAAATTCACCTACTTAACACTAGTATAGCAGAAAATAGGGTCATACTCACAGAGAAGGAATACTAATTACCAGGTATAAATTACTCTTTATCTAGATAAATGATGATCTCAGATTTTTAATTAAAATAAAACTAAAGCTAAAATCTAAAATATGCAATTATTTTCAAAGGTTGAAACAATCAAGTTGGGAAAACCTAGGACATTGGGTTCACCTACCGAATATGTGGTTTGATTTGACTCATAAATATCTGACTTTTAACTTCCATTAATCTCACAACGATTCACCTAATTAAGAACTACACACTCTCGCGTTATAGTTCTCTTACTTAGATTAACCCTATGACTACTCTCGTGACTATAGGGATTAACAAAAGCACATTAAGACCATTAAGAATCAAACATTGCAAAAGTTAAAATCTTACTCACGTAGCTTACACCCTAAGTCTATTATTCTTACGAACTAATACTAATCTTCCACTCTCGCTACTTCGATTAGTATCTTCAGACATGCAAATAGTGGCTAATTACTTACACGGATTAAAACAAGAATAACAGATATTAATTAATGGAAAAGTCAAATAATAATGAACCAAATAAACCAAATAAATCCGACGGCTACATCCAAGCCTTAAGTTAAAAGAATTTAGCCACTAAACATTATCAAAAATAATTCAATAATATTTAGAGACATAATCCAGACAAATCTGAAATTAAATTAAAACTCAAAAACTCGGAGAGAAAACGAAGCCGCTGAGTTGGAAGTTGGAAGACCACGGCTGCTGTTTTCTTCTTCACGTCCAAGCTGCCCCCTTGATGATTATAATGATGATGCGTGAGGCTGCTGTGATGATGATGATTAAAGTGATGGATGATGACTGCGTGAAGGTGGGGGGCTGATGAGGTTCGGTGGTGCGTGGAGGGATTCCCAAAAATTAATGAATATCAAGTGTTTATATAGCCCTCAAATCTTACGCACCACTCAACCCTAAACCCAGGAAGCTGCACCTCTGGTTCATTCACGTAAGCTGCTGCCCAAATTAGTTCGGGAATTTGCATTTTAGTCCCTAGGCTTGTGCAAAATTACAATTCAGCCCCAAAACTTTTTCAATTTTTGCAATTCAGTCCCTGTGCGTCTTCCATGCTGGAATTCAAGTTTTGGCGGGAGTTTCTCTTTCATCAATTATCAAATATTCAATCTTGCTTCTATAAATTGATCTTTATCTTGATTTAGTCCAAAACTCCAATAATTTCTCCATTTGAGTACAAAACTTACAAATAAAGATAAAATCATACAAATAGCATCTTTGTACTGAAAATATATGGCAAAAATCACAAATTAGGGATATAATAAGTAGGTAAAATATAATCATATCAATCACCCTGAAAATTAGCTCTGTAAAAAGCTACAGGTATAAAGCTCGAATTTGACTTAGCTCTGTAATACTTAGCTCTGTAAAAAGCTACAAGTAATTTGATTAGAGTATGTAAAGCCTCATTATGCTACTATTTTTGTGATTATAGTATAGAGTCTTTGTCTTCCTTTTCCTTTCACCCTCTGTAATTTCATGTTTTGAATATCAAAGAATAATATATGCATATTGCTATTTAGTTTGCCCACATCACTATTAGAGTAGTTAGTACTACTCCCATTGTCAATGGGACATTCCAAATTTTGCTGTCTAAATTATCAATGTATGGATATATGCCTAATTTTTTTCCTTAGATTATGATTATTTCTGTCATTTTATGGCTGCCTGCTATTACAGATCAATCTTAGAGTACTAAAGAACTTCTTATATTCTAATGCTAGAATCTCTTTCATCTTGATTTCATCTTTGAAGAATTGGCCGCTACTTGGAGACAAATTTATTTATGAGCATAAGGTTACAAGATATTCAGGGCCAGATAGATCTCAACTATTTATCTCAGGAAAAGATTGGGTTTTCCCTAATTCATTCCATTTTTTTCATTAATTTTATTTTAAAAATTGGGTTTGACGTTCCGTTAGTTTCAAAATAGTGCCTTAAATACATATATGATCATTGGCAAAATACTCTATAAATTTTAAGTTCTTGAGATAGCTTCAGCAAGTCTATTATTGAATATGACCAAACAGGAAAGGAATTCGAATGGCGTACTATAATATTAGGACATGTTCTTTGTTTAGGTTGGTGTTGATTTTCTAACAGGTGTTTGGTTTTCTGACCATAATTGTTTTAATATTTGTTTTGTATTTTACTTCTATTAGATATCAAGAGAAACCTTATCTATAACTTCATAATCTTGCAGATCTGAAACTGAAGTATGAAAATATAATGCAAATACTTACTTCTTTTGAGAGCCCACAAGCCGCAGTAGCAGATCCACCGGCTGCAACATTATGAAGTATTATAACTTTGGTAATTGAATCTTTCAACTTCTATTTCAGTATTAATTAGATTGAAGTCCATGTACGCCATCTCCAGATTGGGGGATTTCAATAAGTTTATCAATTATGTCTTCTAAGGGTATCATAATGTCTGGATGAATGGCGAATAGGTACTGTTTTGAATGTCAATATTTTTTGTATGTGGGTTATTCGTTTGTACCTTACAAAAGTGAAAACCGAGGCCGGTTATTGTTAATATTTTTGCAGGTTTGGAACAACTTTTCCACTTTTGATTTTCAGTCATTATGTTTGAAAAATAAGTGGATGACCACATGATACAGTGGTGCACATTTGGTGAGATTATTCTTCTCTTGAATTCTGAGTAAATAGAATTCTGTTCGACCAGTTTTTGCTGCAGATTATAATCATATAAGTGAGTAGTGTTTTTAGAATGCATCTACGTAACTTTTTCTCTAATGATTGTACAAAATAGACCTCCAATTATTGTTTTATTTTTTAATACATAATATTATATCATTATTTTTTTTGTGTGTATCGTGATTTCAAGTTTGGTTTTTTTGTTTTTTTTGTTTTTTTGTTTTTTTTTTGCAAAATAAGACTGATGGCTCTGCCATTTGAAAAAGTCAAGCTGTCCCTGACCCATTTACTCGAAAAACAGGAGCTGTTATGAGACAAAATGCCATCGTGAATCGCCAATAATAATTTCTACTGTTTTAGAATGTATGTATTGTTATATGTACCTTATATATTATACCAAAAGGTATTATTCTTTTTTCTGATTGTTTGTTTTTGTCATTCATCAACTTCAAAACGCAGATACCCCAGGCGAATAATTATATTTATACATTGTAATAGAAATATAAAATCAAAGAGATCTCCCGGACATCCGTCCGGACCAAGCATCTAATTTTAATTACAAAAACAAACAGCCGCTATAATATCATGATGAAGTCAAGAAAATGAATTCAGTCGACAATACAAACTGTGTCAGTACCATCCAAAAATTTATTCCGGATACACATGTTTAAACAAATACTTGCAACTCCCAAACAACTAAATCATACTCATACCTCGACGAAACACCAGTATGGATTCCAGTTATCCTACTTAATTTCTTATATTATCGTAGCAACTACACTCGGATTATAATCAACTCCGTCAACAAAAAATTTCCCATGCCCATGTCCCAAGCTACTATCGTTAATGATGCCGTTGTTATTTCCTTCAAAACGCACATGAATGTAATTATTTACAAGATTTCAAGTACATTTGCATATCAGACATTCATCATATCATGATCTTACCCATCTATTCAAGAATTGGGGAGTAGGGGCATTTGGATGCAACTTTGGCCATCATAATCACCACACTTCCTCTATTCGTTGACCACTGCTTGATATATAAATTAATGCGCCAAAATCAACATACCAATCTGATATTCTTGAGTCTTTTTCTTATAATTATCGTCTAATTATTGGTTTGCACGTTTGGGTGATGGGAGGGGGTCACATAGTATTGAATTAACTAATGATATACATCCACAATTATCTAGAAAGGATAATTGGGGATATAGAGAAGGGAAGACCAGCGCAGAATGATTGCACGAATTTTCGAAATTTGGAATACAAAACTTCCATTAAAGTAATACAAAAGAAAGGAAAAGGAAATCTCTATGCTTCTATAAACTTTTCAAAGGTCATACACACACACAAAGTGTATACCTTTAACTATATAGTTATACTCAAAAAAAGAAAAAAAAAATGTTAACATTGTCAATAAAGTTGAAGTTTATATAACAAAAAAGAAAGAAAGAAAATAAAAATGTCAATAAAGTGACACTAAAAAGACTCAACCATGGAAACTCCCAAGCCTTTTTTTTTTTTCCTTTAATCTTACCACAATTTTTTTTCCCCTCTTTTCCCCTTTCCCAACTTTCGAAAACTTCTTCCTATTTATGTGTGTGTGACTGTGTGGTTTCAACATGGCGATGTTAAGCAACATAAAGAAATACAATATCCCCTTCAAAGCATCTTTTTACCAGATGATCCGTGTGGAACTTTATGTTCTCTTTTTTTTTTCTTTATTTTTGCGAAAAAACATTAAGGTAATTTTAATGTAATTAAAAAAACCACCCCTTTTAGTAGCTATTTTTTATTTGTGTGTTTTCACTTTCTTCTGTCGTTAGATGAGACGTATCCTTCTACTTCGCACGTGCAACCGCCTGTCACGTGCCACGTCAATTAGAGAAGAGAGAAAAAAAAAAAAAAAAAGAAAAGACAAAAGGAAGGTCCGGTGCATAAAAACTAGGGTTAGGGTTTTTCAGTTTGGTATAAGAGACCAAATCATTGCACGACCAAGATTTTCTTTTGCTTCTTTTTTATCATCTGGGCTTCTCAGAGTTTTTTTCACTGTTTAGGAACTCAAAACACAGTAAAAACATATTAACGTAATGCTGTAGCAGCTCGAAAGAATAATGCAAATAAACGTACCACACAGTAGTGGTGCATGCCCACTATCTAGTCAAATCTAAAGTGAAAAAAAGATGCCAATAGTCTTCTCTTTTCTTTTGAAGCTTTTTTTACATTTATAACATTTTTCCATATTATGTCGATGAGTTTAAGAAAATAAAAAAAAAAAAAAAAGAAAAAGAAGCAAAGCTATATATACTACTATAGCTATATTACCATCTTCTTCTCTGAACAATTCTCACCTATATGATACGTACTACAATACGGACTATGTCCTAAAAAGATCGCATTCTTAAACTATTAAAAACATTACAACAAAGTAAATTTTTTTTTTCGCGTGAAGAAGAAATTATCACTTTATTACGCTTTTTATCCCAAAATAATATAGCATTACAGTTATTTTCATATAATTATTTTAGGATAGAAAGAATATTAATTTTGCATGATTGCTTTTTAAGTAAACTTTGCATTGCATTTGCTTACCCACTGGTCAAGGGCATGTTATAAGTCTCTCGGTCTGTCATGACTCAAAATTGGGCGGTTTTTTTTTTTTTTTTTTTTTGGAGAGAGAAAGAGAGAGGGAAAATGGAAGTATGGAAGGAAGAAAAAGAGGTATCCAAGGGGAGATGTGTTTTTGGTTTGAAGACATTGATTCAGATACTTAAAGTAGGAAAAAGCAGAGGTTTTTTTTTCCCTTTCTTTCTTTCTTCTGGTCCTCCGAAGAAGTATAGAAGCCTTGATAGACACATTTCCAACAACAATATTTCTAGTCAGTTTTCACCTACATTTCGCTGTCATCGAATAACCCACCATATATTTTTATTTTTATTTTTTTTTCCCCTTCAAAATAATAAGATTTTGTTCTCATCTCTGTGTTTGTACATACAATGGCTTTTTCCCTAGCTGACTACACTTGTGTACAATGGAAAAAAATGGATAAACATAGAGATCTTAAAAACCTCAAGAATCACAAAAAAAAGAAAAAAACATCATTACTTTCTTTTACCTAAAATCATACATCTACATGACTTTTCTTCTTTGTTTTTCCCCTTTGTCTTGGTAACAATAATAGTTGATAATTACAATACTAATTACTACAAAGTTTAATGCAACTTTTTGGGTGTGTGGAAGTGGAACAACAACAACAACAACAACATCATGTTCATAAATCCATTTTCTTGGGTCAGCTGCCTCAGTAGCTTTGCTTTTTACTACCCTTCTTTGTTTTTTTTACAAACTTTCAAATTCCCCATGATTATGTAAATAATTAAAGCCAAAGCCTTTCCCTTTTTTCTCACCCCATGAAGAATTGGTCATATTTGTACGTATATAGACTCCATTAATGCATTTGGTCAGAGAAAAAAACACACCCAGAAGGAAATTGCCAAGGAAAGAAGCAGAAGAAAAAAGAAAAAGCCTGAGGAAAAAATCAGGTCCCCCCACAACGTACATCCTCCTTCCTCCATCTGCATTCTTCCAAAAAACGCAGAGAAAAATCCAAAACACTTATCTATCCCATGTGTGCAGTATCATTAATGTAACTGAGACGCTCAGATATGTAAAAGTGGCAGAGAGAAAAAAAAAAGGAGAAATAATGCCGAGAACACAATAAGAAGCAGCAGTATTTAGCAGAAGAAGAAGAAGAAGAAGAGACAATAATCATAATGATAGAAAAAAAGTCTAATATATATAATAAATGCATCACTGAAATTTGAGGGGAAAAATGGTCCTTAACTCTGTAAAGATGAAATTACTAGAAGAAGAAGAAGCTGATCATCATATCATCTGGTCCAAGAAAAAGCCACCTGCATTAATTAAATTCATGGCTGGGGGGAGAAACTCCATATAATATAATATATAATACTAAGAACGTACTAATTAATCTTCGTATTTACACTTCGAAACAGCAAATTCATAATGCTACTAAAAAGAATTAAAGTGAACCCAGGAAAAAAAAAAAGAAAAAAAAAAGAAAGGCTAATAAGACATGAACAACGAAAAAAGATGACCTTTTTTGGTTCAGTGAGAAAAAGAAAAGTCAAAACTCTGTTACTAAATTAACATGGAGAAGGAGGCATAAGATTCAATCCTAAGTCATCCTTATCCATCACAAATCTTGCCTTGTTGGTCTCCATGGAATTTGATGAATATTCAGGGTGCAACCTTTTCTTTGACTGATTATGATGATGATGATGAAGTGGCAAAGGCACCCCAAAAAGCTTTGTTCTACTGCTTTCTCTCTGTTCTTCAAGAATGGTAACGCTGCTGCTGTTCTTGCTCGGCGACGACGTCGTATGGCAGCCATTGAAGGAGATATTCATCATCTGAGGAAGAGTAGTAGTACTACTGCAACTCTGCTTTGGGCCGCCCAGAAACTGATTCAGGGGCTTTTGCATCAACGAAGAAGAATTAGTGATGGTTGTAGCGGAAGCTTGTGAGGCGGCGTTGCAGAGGATCAGAGAAGATGGATAATTGTTGCTGGGAGAAACCGGCTTAACGTGGTTCTGAACGAAGTAAATAATGTCGTTGTAGAGTTTCCTCATGTGGGCTAATTCCGACATCAGCATGTTGTTGCTCCTTCTCAGCCTCTCGTTGTCTTCGGAAAGCGCCGCCGTGACTGTTCCGCCGCCGTAGTGGGCCGCCGCCGCCGAAGCCGGGATGGAATTCGTGGTGCTCGCGGCGGTGGTGGTGGTGATCACCGGAATGGGAATCTGCACCGGCGGAGAAGATATGGGTGGGGAGTCGCACCAATTGTTGTCGTCGGAATCGGGTGGAGAAATGCTGACCCGGTTTGCGTATGGGAAAAAAGATGGACTGTTGTTAATCGGGTGGGTCATGTTAAGCGGGTGGTGATGGTGGTGGTTGATGGATACTTGCGGCTGAGATGTTTTCCTCCGGTGGATCTCACACAGAAGGTGTTTCTCTCCTTTCTTGAAGAATTCATTCGCAAACTCCCATCTGTCCGGTACTATTTTCCTAAAACCCTAAACTCAAGAAAGAAAAAAAGAAAAACATTTAATCAGCCAATACAAAGCTCAAAATCAAAAACCCTTTTGTTTATTTCATGTATCAAACAAAAAAAATGGGCTTCAAACAAGGAAATTATGAAATTAATTTGAACTTACATAGGTGTTGAGTTGGCGGACGAAGCTGGAGAAATTGTTGTGCTTGAAGTAATTAGGGAGGAGGTCACGAGCGAACTCAGGAGGACGCCAAACGACAAAAGTTGTGTCGTCTTCACCCCAAGAAACGATGTGGTCGGTGGCCGGATCATCCACGAGCTGGTACGTTTTGGTTAAGAATGGCGCCGGAACTGATTTGTGGGAGTCCAGAGATAGTAATATCCCTTCGCAGTTATCTAGCACCAGAGCCATTTTTCGGTTTTGTTTCTCTGGAACTAGAAATCAAAGGAAAGAAAGAATCTTTCCAGCAAGGAAATGGCAAGTTTTGGAAGGTTTTAAGAAGGAAGTATGGAGAAGGGATGATGATGATGATGAAGAAGGAAGTCAGAGAGAAATGGAATCGGCCAAATGGGTAAAGGGGGGTGGTTATTAATATTTTTGAAGAGAGAAAGGAAGCTTGAGTTTTGGGGGAATTTTATATTTACCGCAGGGAAGGAAGATACAGTTTTAGTTGATTAGATTGGTGCCTCGGTTATGCAGTAATAATAGTACTGTAGTAGAGTAGTAGAGAAGTGAGAGAGAGGAATATGTGTCTGTTTTGTCTAGGACTATGGAAATTAAAACTTAAAAAAGGGTCTTCCAAGACAAACCCGTGACAGCACACACAACACACCTATTTCCACAAACTTAAATTATATCCATTTTCCCGTATCAGAAAATAATTTGTGATTCGATATACAAATCTTATGATACGTTGATTTTATGAGTAATTCGTATAATAACGACACAAATTGTATTACAGTATAGTGTATAACACGATCCGAAATTTTGGTACGTTAAGTTCAATTAATATGATGCACCATCTCCCCGGCCGGGGAGCGCAAAAAATTGAAATGAAGCACAAGAATTTCATGGAAGTGTAAAAGGAATTGACGGTGGGTGGCATCATGTGGTGTTTTTTTTTTTTTTTTTTTTCTGTTTGGAGTGATTTTAATGAAATTTTGTCTCTTTTGAGGGTATATCAAAATTGTGATAGTCATTAGGGAAACCCCTGAGAAGTTAACATAACAGTGGTACACTAGCTAGTACCGTTATAACTTACAAAAACCAGCTGGCTAAAGCTTATTTGCTTTTTTGGCCTGTATACGTTTGTGTGTGTGTACTAACGTACTATATATATTTTGCATTTCAGAATTATTTGAATATTTGAATCCATCCCCAATATGATCTGATAACGATCAAATTCATCTTTTCTTGGCAATATATATAGTACTGCGATGTGTATGATTATTTTATCTTTTTTTATTTTCTGCTTCGGATATATATATATATATATATATATATATATAGTACAGTTGTTTTTTCCTACATTGGTCACATATATAGTCCAATTGATGTACGTTTTTCCTGAATGCTACCTGTTACGAAAAAAGAAAAGAAAAACGAAATTTGCCGCAGTACTATATAGTGCAACCAATTTTCAGGAGCTGCAAAAATTGCAGTACGCTAAAATCTCTCTCAACGAGATCAGCAGTAATTTTTTCGAAGATTAGTACTCCCTTCGTTCCATAATTATTGTCCAGTTTGTATTTTTATTTTTAGTTCGAATTGTACTAAAACTAAAATATCAAATTGAACAATAATTTTGAGAGAGACGGAGTTCTTAATTTGCAGTAGTAATATATCTAGCTAGTAATGTGAGCGTAGAAAATTTGGCAACTTTTTTCTTTCCTCTTATAACATTTAACCAGATAAATGGGCTAGGACAAGTGGTTGAACTATATATATGTAAAATAGAGTACTATTTTTTTTTCTTTTTTTTTTGGAGAGTACGGAGTAATGATCTTATGTTTGTGAATCGACCTAATTGCATAATCCATGATTTCCTAAATTCCATTTTCATTCTCAATCGAACCATTTTAAAAGAATAATATTGGTTCTAATTCTACATTGTGTAAAATATTCTCATTTAAAAACCTTTGTTGTTTTGGGACCAAGAGATATATAAATTCATTTAGCGAAACAAAAACCGGGGTTGAAGAGGAAAGACAAAAAGGGTGGGGGGAATAAATGAAAAAGGCGGAAATTAAAGAGAGTGATATATGAGAGAGTATAAGTAAAGGAAATGCACGGGGGGGAATTAAATCCAGAAAAGGACGGGAGAAAGAAGAAGAAGAAGAAGGAGGAGGAGGAGGGGAGGGGATCGAGCTTCTCTGATTTTTCATCACTTCACGTCAAACGAGTGTTCTTCTTTTACGTTTTGTAGCTTTCTGTTTGTTTGCTTAATGGCACATCAACACACACACACACACACGCACGCACGCACGCACGTTCTTTCTTCCTACTCTATTTATTACCAGTTTACCACTTCTACTTCTAAAAATAATAATAAAACTCTGTGTGTGTGTGTGTGTGTGTGTGATTAGGTGGAAATGGAATCAAACTTGTTTCTCCCATCGTTTTCGAATAAGAACTCTTACTTTAAAAACTTGTTTCTGATGGATAAAATGGGGGAAGCTGATGAGTTTTTAGTTTTTAGTGTGTGTGTGTGTGTGTGTGTTTTTTTTTTCTTTTGTTTGGGTGCAGAGATAAATAAATAAGGTAAAGGATACATCGATGGACGTGATGGGATTTAAAGCTGTTGTTGCCTTCAAACTCGACTGACCACATTTCGTTTCGACTTCTGCTTCTGCTTCTTAAATCTATAATTGCTAGCTTCTTCTTCTTCTTCTACCCGGCCTCAATCCTCTCCCCTCTTTTATTTTCTTCTGCTTGGCGTCTTTCTACTCTACTTTCTCTTTCTTAATATTCCTCCCTCCGCTTCAAATAAAACAAATTCCTCATCAATTTCCATTTTAATCCATCCAAATCCTTTTTCCCCTCAATTATAACAATTGTACTACAGTAAAATGACCTGTTTCTATTCATTTTTACTCTGGTCTCAGAAAAATGAATTACTTTGCAATAACATATTATATACTCCATTCGTCTCATAATTATTAGACTGAGGGACTACAGAAGAAAAATTACACTCCAAATCCCACAACATTGTCATGTTTACCCCCGTTATTTTGGTCCAATGCAAAATAACTCATAAATCCATTTATTTTCCCTAATCAAAATATTTTTCTTTTGTTGCAACCAAATAAAAGGGAAAAGATTCTATTCTTGAAGACATATTTTGGAAGATATTAATCGACTATATTTTGACGACATGCAAACCCTATGATGAACTCCTGATTTTGCATATCAAAGCAATTGTGAATTTGAATACCGAAATGATTATGTGATAGTGTACAGACAAAATTTCCAGATACTCCCACTTTAGGTCCTTAAAAGGTAAAATAATAATAATAATAATAATAATAATAATAATAATAATAATAAAAAATGTAGGAGAGTTGTATATTTCCATACATCCTACATTAGTCAAGGACCAACCTACTTCATGATGTTCAGTTTCTTATTTTCCATTTTTCGTAATTCAAATATTTCTCGGCGACAAATGAAGTCATATATAGTTTTTTTTTTTTTTTGAAGGGCAAAGTAATATATAGTAGAATGAACAATAAAGATGGACGGACAACTAAATAGCTTAGAATGTTTCCCATGTCGAACGATTGATGCGTAATCTTCATGCATCCATACAAACTAAGCTACATTCCATGCAATAATTAAGTATTCCCTCTGTCCCAAAATTATTGTCCAGTTTGAGATTTCACTTTTAGTATAATTTGAACTAAAAATGAAAATCCAAACTGGACAATAATTATGGGACGGAGGGAGTATATTCTTTTTTTCTTTTATCTTTTTTTGGATATAATAGAAGTCTTAATAAAACCGAATAATAACAAAAGTAACACATTTTGTGTATGAGATGCATCAATAAATGTTATCGTATTCCAAGCATGAATTGAGTACTCCATACAGAAGATTATATAATCTGAACCCTATTAGAGAAATAATCGACCAAGACATTAAACTCCTAAAAAATAAGTTTCTTTTACGTAGTAACTCGAATGATTTGGTGCATACAATCAAGAGTTGCTACGTAGTGAATGAGCACATTCTTTACTTCTAAAGTGAATTGCTATGCATGGTGATCCACATGACCTTTTTTTTTTAATTAAAAAAAAAACAATGATTATATTTGATCCATGATTCCATGGCCAATATGATGATATATACCAAAATTTTCACATAAGATTCAACTTTTTTTCTTTTTTTTCTCCACACAAGAAGAGAACACCAAATAGTAGGGACAAAGCATGGCCCAAAGTTAAACAATAGGAAAATGATGAGTAATTATAACAACAAAGATACCCACAAACCTGATTATATCGATCATGGCATGCAATGATAGTCATTATTATTGGGAAAGCAAGGGCTCATATACTGTTTATTACACTTCCCACACACAAAAGATAAAAATAAAAATAAAACACACACACACACACACAAAATTATCATAAACAACATGGCCATCTTCTTTTTCATGTGTTTTTATAAGGCTGTTCTCCACATTCCATCCGCAACTAGCTATCTCTCATCCTTATTGCAACAATTATTACTCTGCATGCCTTTTTTTTTTTTCCCTTCCTAAGTCTTTTACATCATACGTCCAATCTAACAAAACTCCTGTATACATATGTACAACAAGTAAGTAACGATGTTGGGATATTGTCTTTTCATATGTCTTGTAATAAAAATCTCTTCTTTTCCCTCCATACAATTTTCAACTGGGGATTCCTTTGTTTTTCTACAAAAAAAAAAAAATTGATACTTAGAAATTGTTAAGAACGAGGAGAGACTGGACTATACTGAAACTGGGTTGGCTGGCTGCAGAGAAGTGAGAAGTGTGTGTGTGTGTGTGTGTGTTGTAATAAGGTTTTGATAAATGAGACCAATGATCAGAATTTCAATGCCTATCCCACATGCATTTGGTTGGTTATTCGATTCAGTATCTAGTCTTATGAAAATTGCAAAGAAGGATCTGTTTTGCACGTGATATTTCCTTCGGTTTTATTCACATCCAAAAAAAAAATAAAAAAATTAATTAGAATAAGTTGTATACAAAAAAAAAAAAAAAGTTGAATACAATTTAGAAGTTAAATTTGAAAGCAACAGTGTCAGTTTTCTTCAAATCCCCAATATTGAATTTTTCAAACCGAAAAAAGAAAAAAAAAAAAAAGCTTCCTAGATAGTGTATAAGAAGTAGTAAGAAGTACTGAAGAAGTATCTACTTGTTTTTTTTTAAAAAAAAAAACGTCCTTACAGATAAACCCTTTTGTTTATTTCCTTCTTTTTGTTTGTTCTCTTTTCGTTTTGGCATCTCTAGCTAATTTTTAATAATTTTGCAAAATAATAAAAATTATGATCTTTCATTTCCGGGGTGTGGCTCTCTTTCTGGCATTGTGTTGCAGCGGCTGACATGGAAGACAGAGTCCTTTAAAAAAAAAAAAAATTGTTTTTTTGATGGTTTTGGTGTGTGTTGTGTGTGTGTGTGTGTGTGTGTGGGTTTTTGCCATTCTCGTGATTCTGGGTTTGGATTTTTGTGTGTTCTTCTTCTCTCTACTTGCATATATTCTTTACCTCCAATTTCATGTTACAAAACTTACAAATTAATATGGTGTGTGTGTGTGTGTGTGTTTGG